TCGTTTGTCCAGATAACTCTGAAGGCCAGGAGACAGGCAGTTTCGTAAGGATGTAAAGGGCTTGGGCTTAGCTTTCAGTGAGAAAGTCAAACCCATGATCAGATTTGGGTGTGAGGAAATGAATTAAGCCATTTATTTCATGTTCTATTTTCTGAAGGCATTGTGTAAAATCATTCAGTACTTTTATGAAATGTTTTGCCAAATTCAGTAACAATGTTTTTGGAGCTAAAGATTTGGGGAGGGGTTAAATTATAGATTTAACTAAAAGAAAGTTTTAAAAACTCAATTTTTGTGATATATTTGTAAGATTAATTCCTTTTAATTAATAGTCAATATTTTGTTTAAATTTGTTTAAAAGTGTGCATGAATATCAGAACAATTTTGCACAAAATATACATGCCTATTTTGTTTAAACATAGTATCTTCAATGCATTTTTATTTCTATTAGTGTATATGTAATTTTCAGGATAGTTTTCATAAACATAAATGTTTTTAAGCAAAGATTTTGATAGAATAAGGTTTTAAAAGATTAATCATCTTCCTCACAAAATATTTGTGAAGAATCTAAACTGTTTTCTGAAATATGGAAAGGGCTCGGGCTTGGGTCCTTTTTTTATATGGACAAAAACCCACATCGTTCCTAATTACACATTTTCTTTCTCACGTCTTGGTTACTGTTTTCTTCAGATAGCATTATTTTTCTTGTGATGTTTAGATGACCAATTCACTTAGCAGACACCATTTGGTTGGAAGCCAGACTCCAACGATAGAGACCATGTAAGTGGATCACAATGCATTGCGCATGTTCCAGGCTCCTTGAGACCGTAGAGCAGGCCTTTCTAGGGTGTCTACAGAATCTGATGCCATGAATTTATTTCACTTGTCTAGAAGTGACTTATCATCTTGTGAGCTCTGTACAGAAAAGAAAAAGGGTCCATATTATTTACCAAACTAGCATCACACAGTTTCTGGCAAGAAAACAAATGTGTCACACAGTGCATTAGAATGTAGATCAGAGAATGAGCAGGGTCCTGGATGCAAACGCAGGAACAAGACAGATCTGAGAAGTAAGACATCCGGAAAGTCAACTAGCTAACCCGGAGAAACAACCTCTTCGGCGAGGCTGGAGCTCCTCGTGGAAGTAAGGAGCACCTGCACACTGTGGGACCATAGAAGTGTTGAGCACAAGAACTGAGGTAACTCTGTTACACCACATTTGTGGGTAGTGGATACCTGTATCCCAGGGCACAAAGAGGTACAGAACACTTGTGTGGTGCTGGTTTTGGTCTGGTGAGGGTCAGAGTAATGGTGGCACCACCATGACATAACCTGGGTTGTTGAACACCTGCAAAGAGCCGGCTGTTAGTTGATTTCTGTATGTTGGGCAGTGTAATTGCAGCTAGGTAGAATCTTAATATTCATTTGCATTTCCTGGCTAGCTAGGAAACCTGAGCATTTTTTAATTTCATTTTTGTTAGCCATTTGAATTTGTTCTTTTGAAAAATGTGTGGATGTTAGTCCTCTAACTGTTGTGTAATGTGTGAGGAATTTCTCCCATCATGTTGGTGACCTCTTTGCTTTGTTGACCTTTGCTGCATAGAAGCTTCTCAGCCTGAGGTGGTACCTTTTGTTTTTGGGGACTGAATCTTTAGTGTCTTGACCAAAAAGTCCTGGCCTAAGTAAATTTAGGTCCCTAACCCCTTTAGAGCTGATTTTTGTATAAGGTGACAGGTGGGGGTCTTGCTTCTTGCTTCAGCAGGCTCCTTGCTACCCAGTTGAAGAGACCAAGCTTTTGCCCTGGCTTATTTTCAGTTCTCTTGTTGATGATTAGGCGGCTGTACATGTGTGGACTTACATTTGAGGTTTCTATTCTGTCCCATCTATTTTCTCTGTTGTTTTATTGATACCAGACTGTTTTGATTAACCCTATTCTGTAGTATGTCTTAAGGCCTGGAATTGTGACACTTATAGCTTAAATTTTATGCTTCATAATAGCTTTGGCTATTTGTTTCCAGATGAACTTTTGTATGATGTGTTCCAGCTCTGAGAAGAATGTGGTTGAGATTTTAAATGGGATCATGATGAATCTGTATATTAATTTCAGTAATAATGACATTTCTATGATATTGATTCTACTGATTCAAGAACATGGTAAATTTCTCCATCCATTAATGTCTTCTATTACCTTCTGTATGGAATTATAATTTTTGTTTTAGACATAGTTCATATCTTTTGTTAGATTTATTCCTAGGCATTAAAGATTCCTTTCCACTATTTTGCATGGGGCTGTCCTTACAAGTTTTTTCTCAGCCAAGGAATTGTTTGTGCTTACTAAGCATATCGAATTTATATTTACTGATTTTATGCTCCTTTTATTCCTAGTTACATAGGGAGGGCTTTTTTTTTAGCATGAGGTATGTTGACTTTTATCAAATTCCTTCTCCATGTCTACTGAGTCATCCTGTGGTTTTTATTGTTAATTTTGTTGATGTGGTGTATCACATTTATTGATTTACATATCTTAAACCATACCTGCATTTCAGAGATAGATCCCAGTTTGATGTCTGATTCATGGTTGGATTCTCTTGGTTAGTTTTTTGTTTAGGATTTTTGCTCATCGTGTGTATTGGCCTGGAGATGTCTCTGTTGTGTCTCTATATGGTTTGGTATTAAGGCGATGTTGGCTTGACAGAACAAGTCTGGAAGGATTTCCTCCCTTTCTACTGTTTGGATAGCTTGTTTGATAGAATTCATCAGTGGAGCCATTTAGTCCTGGGCTTTTGTTTGTTGGGAGAGATTTAATTACTGATTCACTCTCCAGTCTGGTTACAGGTCTATTGCGATGTGTTATTCTCTCATGACACAGTTTTGGTAAATAGTATGTGTCTAGAAATCTATCCATTTTGTACATCTTCTGATTGTTGACGTACAGTTGCCTGTAATAGTTCCTGATTATTCTATGTATGTCTGAGGTATCCACTGTTGTATTTCCCTTTTCATCTCTGTTTCTGTTCATTCTTTTTTTTTAAGATTTATTTATTTTATTGGAAAGTCAGATATACAGAGAGGAGGAGAGACAGAGAGGAAGATCTCCCATCCGATGATTCACTCCCCAAGTGAGCACAACGGCCGATATTATGCCGATCCGAAGCCAGGAGCCTCTTCCGGGTTTCCCACGCGGGTGCAGGTTCCCAAAGCTTTGGGCCATCCTCCACTGCTTTCCCAGGCCACAAGCAGGGAGCTGGATGGGAAATGGAGCTGCCGGGATTAGAACTGGCGCCCATATGGGATCCCGGTGTGCTCAAGGAGAGGACTTAAGCTGCTAGGCCAGGCTGCTGGGCCCTCTTTCTGTTCATTCTTATATTCTCCCTCCTATTTTTGTTTAGTTTTAGGATAATCAAATTTGTGACACAGGCACTCATTGACGAATGAACTTCCCCCTTTGTACTACCTTTGCTGGGTGCCGTAAGTTTTAGTACACTGTGTGAACATTGTCAGTCAATTAAATAAATTGTTAATATTCAGCTTCACTCTTTAGTGATCTGAGAAATTGAAATTTGATTTTTTCAAATTTACTGAGGTTTGCTTTGTGGCATATAATGTGATCAGTCCTTGGAAAGGTTCTGTGTGCTGAAGAAAAAGTGTTTTGTGCGTACGTAGCTTGAAAGGTTCTGTAGATTTCAGTTAAGTCCGTTTGTTTTATTCTCTGTATTAGTTCTATTGTTTGCTTACTTTTTGTCTTATTGATGTGTGCGTGAAGCCTGCCTTATATTAGCAAGAACATATGATATTTGCCCCCTTTGAAATTGACTTATCTCACTGAAATAAAGGTATCTAGTTTGGACCATAAAATGGTAGAATTCCATTCTTTTTAATGCTTGAGTAGTATTCCGTGGAGTAGATGTTTCTTTATCCATTCCTCTTTGGACAGGCATCTGGGTTGTTTCCATGTCTTTGCTATTGTAGATTGTGCTGTTGTAAACACAGCATTACAGATCCCCTTCTCATATATGATATGTCTCCAGCAGTGGGAATGCTGGCTCATACGGCAGGTGGATTTTCAGTTCACTTAGCACTCGCCCCCTTGTCTTCCAGAGTGACTGAGGTAGCCTATCCTCCAGATAACTGCAGGAGGGTGCCTTTCTCCCCTCATCCACACCAGCAGGTGTTGTTACTGGACTTTTGAATGTGGGCCAATCTCACTGGAGTTAGGAAGAACATCAGTGGGGTTGTTATTTGTATCTCCCTGATGGCTAGGGTTCTTGAGCATGTTAGCCATTTGAATTTGTTCTTAAAGAAAACCCAAAACAGTCTGTTTATTTAAAATAAGTAAACTAGTTGAAATCGTCTTGCTTCCCAGTAACTTCGTAATTATCAAGCTTAAAATATCATCAATTAAGTTTCAAACTCTCACAGACGTTGTCTAACTGGCCGGATACTGCTAAAGCACGTTAAAGGAAAACGCCATCAGTTCTTTGAGACCATCAAAATGGAGGGGAGGGCCCAGTGCGGTAGCCTAGTGGCTAAAGTCCTCCTGGTAAGCGGTCGAGGACGGCCCAAACCCTTGAAAACATCCCTGCACCCCTGTGGGAAACCTGGAGGAGACTTAGGCTTCCTGGCTTCGGATTGGTGCAGTTGTGGCAGTTACAACTGCTTTGGGGAGTGAAAGAACGAATGGATAATCTTCCCCTCTGTTTCTCTCCTCTCTGTATATCTGACTGTCCAATAGAAATAAAACTACAGAAAGAAAGAAAGAAAGATGATAGATGGAGGGGAACGTGTGTGGGGACGGCCCCGGGGGTCGGGCGCGGATGCCTAGGGGCGGCCTGGCTGCGGTGGCCGCGGGGGTCAGGAGAGGGCCGCGCAGGGCACTGGTGTCCACGGGAGTCCCGCGCCCCGCGGCCTGGAACGCGCGACGGGACGGGTAAAGGCGCCCCGCTCCCTGCGACCAACGGCCGCGCCCCCAGTTGGCGCTGGGAGGCGACAGAGCAGAGCGCACCATGTTCCACCTGCTGCTGCTGCTGCTCGCCGGGCTCGGGGGCTCGCCGGCGTCAGGCCCCGGTAAGGCAGGGCCGCCCCTGTGCCCCTCGCAGGCGCAGGAAGGCCTTTGTCGTGTGGAGGGGTCCCCGTGGGCATCAGACGGGGCTGTGAGCCCTGGTGGGCGCTCGGTCGGGGGCAGATGGCGACGGGGGAGAGGGGCACACTTGGAGTGTGCGTGTTGGGCCGTGTGTTTTGTGGAGGAGCCACAGACTGCACAGTTTGTGCAAACAGCTGTGAAACGCCTTCTGCTCCACGGAAACGTCACCATTTCTCACCCAGTGTTAACTTGAGGCCGTTTTGTTGCAAATAAAATTTCTTTTTATGCTGAATCATAATTGATATTGAGTTGTGTAGGTGCGTATACGCATCTGTATATATTAGTGTTACATTTTGAACTTAAGTTTGTATTTGAAGTTAATTTTTTTTTGTGATGGGTTTTAAGTGTGCAGCTTTTTAATGTTTTTGTTGCGCCATTTTTGAAGACTTGCTCCGTTGTCACTCCTTTGACAAATATCAAGTGAGAATAGGTGAATATCTTTTTCCTGGTGTTTTTGTCATCCTGTGGATCTAATTTCTTCTGTTTTTGCTCTGACGTTCTAACATGCTTTTACGACAAAGGAAGATGCGAGGTGTAGCAATGTTTGTTTTCTTTCAGCACTGTGCTGACTGTTCTGGGTTGCTTATCTCTCCACAGGACCTTTAGAATCAAATTGTTGCTATCTACAAAATGACTTGTTGGAATTTTGGTTCGTTCTTGAATCTGACAGCTTGAGAATGTTAAACTTCCATGAGTACAGAATGTATTTTTACTTAATACCTTTACCTAAATAAATTTTGGTTCCTTCGTAGTCATTATAATAAAAGGATACAAGGCACGTGCTGAACTTTGGGAAACGTGGGGCTTGCTAGCGTATTACTGCGGCAGCCTTGCAAGGTCCTTTCCAAGGGGAACTGACTTCTCCATGAGCCATTGAACAGGTTCACCGCTGACCCACACTGGGAGGGAGCTGCACAGGCAGGGCGCCTGACCACACTGCCTGTGCACAGCTTGTCCTGGCCGTTCTCCGTCCTCCTTGTCATGACGGTTAAATGGTTCCACCTGTCTTCTTCCCGTTAAGAATCCTGTCATTCCCCCTTCTGTCTCGCCATCCCTTCCAGTTATCTCTGTCCTACAGTTGACAGGCATCGCAGAGATTGTAAGATTCTTGTGCTTTCCTCACCAAGGCACATTCTCACTTCTGAAGCACGCTGGGGTGTATAGTACGTGTAAGGGAACTGCACGCAATAATTGTTTCTTTAATCTCTGTGTCCTCTGTCCCTCCAGATCCCCTACACTAATCTCTCACCATCGCTCCAAGCAATTTGTGCATTTTAACTTAATTGATCAAATTAATTTTAGTTTTTTGCTCATGTCTCTATGTGACATTTTATCTTAGGAACCAACTCAAGACTTGATTTGACATCTCAGTGTTAAATAATTACCAGGTTTTCCAAACACAGATTGTACGTTTTAGTCGATTGTTTCCAATAATTTCACTCCTTCCTTCCTTCCCTCCTTCCTCCCTTTCTTCCTCTCTTTCTCTTTCACTCTCTCTCAGGTACCTCCTTGTGGGATGTGAGCCTGTCGACTGTTCATGCCAAACACCAGGCCTCACGAGTTTTTTTTTTTCAAAGGTTTATTTTATATGAAAGGCAGAGTTACAACGAGAAGGAGCAACACACAGGGAGAGCTTGCATCTCGGGGTTCACTCCTCACATAGCTGCAATGGCCAGAGCAGAGCTAATCTGAAGCCAGGAGTGTCTTCTAGAGCTCCCTTGCAGGTGCAGGAGACAAGAACATGAGCCATTCTCCACTGCCTTTTCAAGGCCATGAGCAGGGAACTGGAGCAGAAGTGGGCAGCTGGGACTAAATCTGGCACCCCTATGGATGCCAGCGTTGCCACACGATGCTCAGCCTATTGGATCATTGCACCGGCCCTGAAAGTTTTCTTGCTGTATATTGTTGATTTTTTTTTTTTTTGGTCTAGTTGTTGTGTATTTCTTCAAGTCTAGAAAATTTTATATAACTTGACCTCCCTACTGTTTTAAATTCTGTCATAATGATCATGTGTGGCCTTTTAAAAATATTAGGTATTTTAATGGCTTTTATGATTTATAGGAGAACCTGCATAGGCACTTAAACATTGTTCTTTTTATTTTTCAGGATCTCAAAATTCATTTCTACAAATCATAGTACCAGAGAAAATCAGAGGAAATGACAGTGATGACGCGGAAGCACAATCTGTAGGGGAGATTTTTCATTTACTTCCTTTACGTGCCTATTTCTATTTGTTGCTTGGTTATTCATCAATTCACTATAGCATGGATGTATGTTTCCAATATATGAATAAGAAATTTAAAGTTCTGATTACAAAACAAATACACAGTTCATAATGCTACATGCTGCTTAGTATCTGATATTTTCTCATGATTCATTACTTTTGAAAGTTCAAATTCAGAAAACAAAGTAGAAGAATTAAGTATCTTATTTGCGTGACATTAGCAAGGTACCCAGGAGAGTCAGAAGAAGTGCATGTTCTAAGAAGAATGCCTTTTAATTCAAAATTCCTTCCTTAGTCTTCACTTTGTGCGCAATAGTTCTCAATTATGCTATTCTTATTGGAAAAGAAAACACTTTCTTGCATTTATTGATGTTGTTGCAGACAAGGAGAGATATCGCAAGCACGAAGAGATCACACCGGACCCAAGTGTTGCATGCTAGGAGCAGCCTTTATTGTCCAAGCGTGGTGACAGCAGCTCTCACTACACTTCGGGAGCCACTGTGCCACACCACACAAGTCAGGGAGTTCAAGCTCCCATCCTCCAGTCAGACTGAAAGCTCTGCCAAACAAAGTCTCCAGGTGCAGGGGGCAAGAAGGGAGCTGCTGGAGCCCAAAGTTTTCCTGTAGTTAACTAAGCTAACCTAGCACAACAGGAGGCAGAAGGGGTCCAGTATGGAGCCTCTGGAGCCATTTCCAAGTTGTTAGTTAACTTGAATGGTGTGTCAGGCAGGAGGGGATGCAGCATGCACACATGAGCAGCCTCTGGAGCCTTTTTTTTTTTTTTTTAACATTTATTCATTTGTATTGGAAAGGCAGATATACAGAAAGGAGGAGAGACAGAGAGGAAGATCTGTCCGACGGTTCACTTCCCAAGCAACCACAACAGTGGGAGCTGAGCTGATCCAAAGCCAGGAGCCAGGATCGTCCCCTGGGTCTCCCACATGAGTGTAGGGTCCCAAGGCTTTGAGCAGTCCTTGACTGCTTTCCCAGGCCACAAGCAGGGAGCTGGCATATAGAGTTTCTTTTAGAGGTGATGTGTCGATGTGAGGTTCACTTCTGGTCATATCAATTCTATTTCTAGTATTTGAATTTCCTTCTTTCTTGATGTTAGGGAAGTTTTCATTCATCATTTCATTGAAAGCCTCTTTCTATCAAGTCTCTTTTTCCATGCCTTCAGGGATTCTGTGATCTGTATGTTTGGTCATTTTGTGGTGTCGTCTAGCTCTTGCACAATTTTCTTTCTTTTTTTCAAGATTTATTTATTTTTATTTCAAAGTCACATATGCAGAGAGGAGGAGAGACAGAGAGAAAGATCTTCTCTCCGATAATTCACTCCCCAAGTGACTGCGATGGCCAGTACTGCGCTGATCTGAAACCAGGAGCCAGCAACTTCTTCCAGGTCTTCCATATGGGTACAGCATCCCAAGGCTTTGGGCCATCCTCGACCGCCTTCCCAGGCCACAAACAGGGAGCTGAATGAGAAATGGAGCTGCCGGGATTAGAACCAGCACTCCTGTATGGCATAGCGGTACATTCAAGGAGAGGATTTTAGCCACTGGGTCACCATGCTGGGCACCTAGCATGACTTTCTTAACCATTTCTTTACTCCATTTTTGATACTCTGGGTTTTTTTTTTTTCCCCACGTGCATCGTCTTCTAGTTCTGACATTCTTTCCTTTGTGTTGCTCATTCTATTTTCGAGACTCTGTTTTGTGTTTGATTTGTGTTAATGAGTTTTTCATTTCTAATAATTCAGTTTGATTCCACTTCAACGTTTCTTTCTCCCGGGTTACAGAGTCCCTAAATTTCCAATAATCTTGTATCTGCTTCTCGCTGACTTTGTAGAGCTTTATTATAATTTTTCTAAACATTTTTCCGGGTAATCCCTCAATGTCTTGTTCCTCGATTTCTAGGAGTATGGTTGAATCTTTTACCTTGGCAGTTAAGGTGGCATTTTCACTGTTTTGGAAACTTGGCTGTCTCTTTTTACTTTGGTCATTCTGGGTTGATGTGGTGGGTCTTGTGATCTGATAGCTTTTGTGTTTTAGCTATGTCATTGTGGCTTTATGTATTTGGAGGGAGTCCCGTGGTTGTCAAAGATTAGCCTTTTTAACACCAATATATCTCTTTTCTTTCTTTTTTACATTCAACTTTTGTTATGGGTGTGAGCTTGGCTGATTAAAGTTGACATGTCTTGGTGTTGGGATCAGTGTTACGTGGTCCTTGTGTCTGATAATAAGCTTGGGTTCCCTCACTGGTTCTTACACTCTGTGGTTGGCTGCCCTTTTCCAGAACTTGTTTGGGCAGTTTTTACACCCTTCTTGCACCCCTCTGAAGGTTCTAGAATAAGTGAAATATGTCCCTGGTGTCTGATTTCCCATAAGCAGTATCACTGCGTCTCCACCCACTGTGTTGTAGTTGAACCTTGTGGCACTGTTCAGGACAGGGTTCTGCCACCTTCAGCTCCCGTGCCTTCTTGCAGGTGCTTGGATTAAGGTGGTGTGTTCAGAGAGGCTGTTTGCGTGGGCATCCGGCAAGCATTCTGGGATATGACCTACTGCGTCTGATGGTCACCTAGCATGTCATTCTTCCTTGGTTTCCATCGATTTCCTTCTGAATCACCACTGGTATTGCTGCCCTGAACATCGTGTCAAACTTCGCTGGTATTTAGCATTCATTCGCAGGTGCTGGGGTTGTCACTGCGTGCCTGTGTCACCCAGCCATGCTCTTACTCCTTGGGGGTTTTGGGTCATCGGTCCCAGTCAGCATGGCTAAAGTCCAGACCACTGTTCATCCCCCTGCAACAGTTTTCTCCAGACTCTCCCTGGCTGATCCCCAACAGCAGGATGTGTGCTCCATCACACCTGTGTGTACCTGCATGGAAGCCTGGCCAGTCAACTGCCCTGTGCATCCAGATACTGAGTCTGCAAGTCACACTGTCTGCTCACCCTTGTCCTGGTGGTCTAGGGTTGCAGGCACTAATTCCAGGTGCTTCTATGCCTTCCTGGTGTCCATGCAGCTCCGGTTCTTTGCACTGGCCACCTGTGAAATCTGCTCACTCTTTGTGGCAGAGTTGCGTATTCAGCTGTATTTATCATCTGCCTTGTCCCATAGCCCTCCTTCTGTTTGCATCCCTACTCTAATCAGCCATCTTGGATTTCCCTCGGAGATAGGATTTGACTGCTTTTTTTTAAAAGGTGATGGATGTATGCTTTCACTTACTTGTGCGTATTTGGTACTGTTGGCGTATATTTTTTATCCAGTGATTTCTTTTATGTGTTTGGTTCACTTCTCAACTAATCTGATTCTGTGGATACCTCTGCTAATAGCTCATTTTCAGACATTTCAACCGAAGTTTTTGGGGATATTGTCATTATCTCATCGTGAAGGTTCTGCAGTCAGTGCTTGATAGTTGTGGAGAGTCTTCATCTTTGCTTTTATACCTTGACGTGGATAAAATTCTTTATGCAGAAACTTTCTAAGACCTGCTTGTTTTTCTTCAGTTGAAACCATATTTCCATGGTCCAGTTCTACACTTTACTGATTTTTTTCTTCATTCTACCATTGGTTACTCATGAGAACACCACTTCATAAGGTCACTTGCAAAATACTTTGGATTTTAGAATCACTGGCATTGTTTTAGTTGCTGATCCTAAGAATGGGATTCTGGAGTTGGATTATGTACCACCTCATTGGCACTGCAAACTATTTCCTATGATGGAGGACTATTGGGAATTTGACATGTCATGGCACAGTTACCAAAAATTTCACTTGGTGAACTGTGATGTTAAATAGATGGCATGAAGATATTTGCAAATGCAGTATTTTACATAATTGACATATAGAGAGTAAATGAGGACTATAGTATTGATGACTATGATTCAATATCATGAATGTATTGGAAAGTGAAAATTGTAGGCTCAGGTTATTTAATCAGCAATTTACAATGTGGTGTGAATATCAGAGGACCTGTGCTATGACTTGGATGCCCCTTCTAAAACTCATGTTGAAATTTATTTAGTGTTAAATACAAAATAATTTGAGAATGATAGAGAGGAAGGCAGAGTTGGAAGAGGGAACAGGAGCGTGAATTAGGGAAACCATCTGTAGGTTCACGCTCAAACAGTCATAATGACCAGCATGTGGCTCAAGGTGAGAACCAGGAGTTAAACCCAGGTGTCCATCGTGGATGAAGAAAAGTTAGGTGCTTGAACTGTCACTGTGGCTTGACAGGATGCACGCTGTTGAGAAGCTGGAGAAAGGAGTGGAGTTGAGGACTGAAATTGCAACATGGGATGTCAGTGTTTTAGCCACTGGGCCAAATGTCTTGTTCCACATTTTGAAGGTTATTGCCATTTTGATAGTATTAGATCATTGTATCACTACTAATATGAATAGATGTTGTTATCACAAGCATGTGTCCATGTGAGAATGTACTGTTTCTTCCTTATCTTAGTACAGTGATGGATAGAAAGCAAGGTAGTTGCTACACTATACCTGAATTCTTAACTAAATTTTAATGACAGTAGTTAAGACAAATCCTCCAGGTGGGAGAAATTCAGGTAGTATCGTTGGTGTACAAGTTTTATTACTTTAAAACTAGCTCCAAACCGGAATGTACATTTCCTTGATGTAGGATAACCGATCATCTAAGTGATGCCAACTAAGTTGTCAATATGCACATTTTGTGTTCTTTCATAAAAATTACAGTTGGAATGTTTACATTTTTACCCATATGAATTCTCAGATTGGATTTCATTTTTTTTTTTTTGCCGCCAAAACTGTCCTTTATTTAATATATGTGTTATGCTACTCAGATGTTGGTTACTAAAAGTGAAATATTAATTTCTTTTAATTTTGAGGAATTAAAACATATTTCAATATAATCCAAGGTTACCCCTAAGTTCATTTTTTTTTTTTAATTGTTGCTTACATTGTATTATGTAGTACAGTTTTATAGGCGCTGGGGATTCCCTCCACCCCTCCCATACCCCTCCCCCCATGGTGGATTCCTCCACCTTGTTGCATAACCATAGTTCAAGTTCAGTTGAGATTCATTGCTTGCAAACACATGCCTAGCATGAAGTTCAGCGTCTTATTGTCCAGATAAGTTCAGTGGCCTCTTGGGGAGACCTTCTATGGTCTGAAGATAGGTCTAACAGAGTAAAGATCCGGTCAGTTAAAAGCCCCAACAAGGCCTCAATATCAATATACAACATTATGGAATTAATTGACATAGTATTGGGTAAACAATATGTTAAAAATAATGCAAGTTCCATTCTTCGAAACATCTGGGTTGAGACAGTATCAATGACAGGTTCAAAAAATAACAAACAACCATACAAAAATTACAGGTTAAATCAAGGCAAACATGTGGTTCATCTACTCCATGGAATACTACTCAGCTATTAAAAAAAAAACAAAATGCAGTTCTTTGTGGCTAAATGGGCACAACTGGAAACTATAATGCTAAGGGAAATGAGTGAATCCCAAAAGATTAGATACCACATGTTTGCCTGGATTTCATTTTTTAAAAGTAGAATTAGTAGCACATGTAGTAGCAAATCTAATGTTCTAAAACATTTTTTTACAGATTATAAATTTACACGAATCCAAGACAATTTCATCAGACAGTTTGCCATTTGGTATACTAACATTTTTTTCTTATATTAAATTTGTGTTGACTCTAAGTTTTTATGGATTTCCTAGGAACAGATATCCTATTTCATTCCAATCAATGAGACAAGGTATACCGTGCACCTTAAGCGAAGGTAATTTTTATTCTTTGTTTTATTTTATTATTTATATATTATTAATAATTGAAGTCACATACAGATTTAAAATAAGAGGCAAGATTGAATGTTAAAAATGAGAAGGGAGCCTGGTATGGTAGCCTAGTGACTAAAGTCCTTGCCTTGAATGCACCGGGATCCCATTTTAGTTCCAGCTCTTATCCCAGCAGCCCTACTTCTCATCTAGCTCCTTGCTTGTGGCCTGGGAAAGCAGTTGAGGATGGCCCAAAGCCTTGAGACCATGCACTCACGTGGGAGACCCGAAAGAGACTCTGAGCTACTGTCTTTGGATTGGCTCAACTCTGAACGTTTAGACACTTGGGGAGTGAATCAGTAAATGAAAGAATTTCCTCTCTGTCTCTCCTTCTCTTGGTATATCTGACTTTTCAATAAAAATAAGTAAATCTTTTTTGGAAAGTGAGAAGGGAAAACAACATATTTAATTAAAATATCATGAAACATTTAATGGATGAAGGAATGATCTAGAGAATGAAGCTGTAAGAATAAACAAAAATATCTGAGAGAAATCAGGAAGAAATGATATCCATTGGTGTTATTGGAAGTTCTTTTATCCAGTAGTAGAAATGCATAATGCAACATTATCTTCAATTCCTGGTATTTAAGTTTTCATTATGCAGTTCACCTATGAGAATATACATATATACACATTTACTTTTGTATCTATTTAACTTGCAGTTTGCTTGAATGATGGCTTGGGCCAGAGAGAACTTATCATATTTGTCTAGGATTGGCTTATTTTACTGAGCATAACGGTCACTAGCTGGGACAATTTTGTAGCAAATGGTAGACTTCCATTCACTTTAATGACTGAGTGGTATTGTATTGAGTAGATGTTCTACAGGTTTTTTTAAATTGTACTTCTTTCTGTTATTATCATTCTATGGTACAGTTCCATTGATCCTGGGATTTCCCTTATCTCATCCCCAATTCCCTCCCCCTTCACTGAGTTCCCTTATATTATTATTATATTATAGCTCTTCCTACACAGTCATATGTCCATCAGTGCGGGCATCGGCAATGACAGTCCAGCATCCTATTGTCAAGATTTAGTAAACAGTTTCGTTGGGAGTCCATCTTTGCCTGGAAGTAGAGATGCATACTGCTTTGTATCCTCACTTCTGGACATGACAGTCTCCATTACACAGTTATATTACACATTACACATTATACATCCCCTTGTATGAAGATCCACAATACAAACAGCAATAGAAAAATAGAAATTTACAATGCCATGAAGTTAAATAACATGCTGCTAGATATGATAGTCTCCATTACACAGTTACTATACATCTCCTTAAATGAAAAGCCACAAAGCAAAATCAACAATAGGAAGAAAAAAAAAGAAATTAACAATACCAAGTAGTTAAATAACATGCTACTGAATGACTAATGTGTCACTGAAGAAATGAAAAAGAAAATCAAGAACCTTCTTGAAGAAAATGATGTTACTGTGTGATCTATGAGTCATTGAAGAATTTAACAAGAAAGTGTTTTCAAGAGATAAAACTAACAAAAAAATATCAAAATTCATGAGATGTAGTTGCCTTGTTGATAAGATGTGTCTCCGTAGGCAATAAATAGATGGGCTTTGTTTTTTAATCCAATCTACTAATCTATGACATAGATTGATGATTTTAAGCCGTTTACATTCAGGGTTAATATGAATGGGTGGTAATTTGGTCCTGTCATTTTAGGAATGGGTTGTTCATTGATTTAGTTTTCTGTTGTTTTATTACTGAGATGTTCTTTGCGCTTACCTTTGCTTTTGGTGGGGCTATTCATTTTCTCTGTCAAGAGAACATCTTTAAGTATCATTTGTAGGGCAGGTTTGGAAGAGGCATATTCTTTCAACTTATATTGACTGTGGAAGAATATTATTTCATTTTCAAAGACAAAGGAAAGCTTTGCTGGGTACGTTGTCCTGGGCTGAAGGTTTTTTTTTTTTTTTAGATTCTGGAATATGTCACTCCAATCTCTTCTTGCCTGTAGAGTTTCCTGTGAGAGATCTCCTGTTAGCTTAATTGGCATTCCTTTATATGTCAGTTGATTTTTTTCATATGCACATTTAAGGATCTTTTCCTTATGTTCCTCATCCAGCTCTGCTTCCAGCTTTTTGTTTGTTTCCCTCGGTGACAGGAATTATTTGGCAGTTTGGCTCCTCAGGTGCATATTTCATTCTACTTGGATATATTCTGACGAGTGGGATGCCTGGATCATCCCAGATCAACTTTTGATAGTCTTAGCACTCTCCACACTGATTCCCATACTGCCTACTCCAGTCTACACTCTCACCGATAGAGGATTAGGGTACCTTTCTCCCCACATCTACACCAGCAGACATTGATAGATTTCTGAATATAGTTCTGTATATCACTGGAGTGGCTAGAACCTCAGCGAGGTTTTCATTTCTGTTCCCCTTATTGATAAGGTGCTTGGAGCCTTTTTTTTTTTTTGTAAATGTGTTATTGTTTAATTTCATTCTTTCAGAATGTGTCTGCTCTTTTTCTTCACCCATTTTTAACTCAGTTGTTTGTTTTGTTTTTATTGTATTTTATTATTTTTTTTAAGGATTAATTCTCTTTTTTATTGGAGAGGCAGATATACAGAGAGGAGAGACCGAGAGAAAGATCTTCCATCCACTGGTTCAACCCCCCAGATCTGAAGCCAGGACCAGGAGCTTTTTCTGGGTCTCCCACATGGGTGCAGGTTCCCAATACTTTGGGTTGTCTTTGACTGTTTTCCCAGGCCACAAGCAGGAAAATGGATGAGAAGTGGAGCAGCTGGACATGAACCAGTGCCCGAATAGGATCCTGGCAGATGCAAGGCGAGGACTTTAGCCACTATGTTGTTAAATTTCTGAAGCTTTTTGTAAATTCTGGATATTGGTCTGCTATTTATTTTCTACTATGCAAATATATTCTTCCACACTACTGGTTGCCTCATTATGGTGTTAATCATTTCCTTTGTGGTACAGAAGCTTCTTAGTTTGATGTAGTCGTCTTTGTTCACTTTGACTTTGAACACCTGTGCTTTTGGTGACCTTTCTAACAAGCTTTTACCAATGCTTATATCATGTAGAGTTTTTCCTATGTTTTCCTCTAATAGTCTGATGGTTTCTGGGTACAGATTTAGGTATTTAATCCATTTAGAGATGATATTTTTGTAAGGAGACAGTTCAGGTGTCTTGCATCTTACTGCTATGTCTACCGTTCAATTGTCCTAGCAGCATTTGTTGAAGAGAGCAGGCTTTTCCCCTGGATTATTTTCAGTTTTCTTGTCGACAATGAGTTGTCTGGGGCCTCTGTTCTGTCCCATTGATCTTCCGCATGTCTGCACCAGTACCGGACTGTTTTAATGCCCACTGCCCTCTAGTGAGGTCTGGAATTGTGACTCTTCCAGGTTTATGTTTCTTCAGCAGTTTGGCCTTGACTATTTGTGATCTTTTGTGTTTCCATATGGAACTTTGCATTACCTTCACCCGCTCCTAGAAGAAGGCTGGGGTTTTGACTGGGATCACATCCATTCTGTGTTATTTTTGGTAATATGGGCATTTTGATTATGTTGATTTTACCAAACCAGGAGCATGGTGTGGTTTATTCCAAGGTATTTCAAGTTTCTCTCCCCTATTTAAAGGGGATTGTACTTACAAGTTCTTTTCAGTCATAGAGTTATTTGTGTCTATGTGGTTTATGTATCTGTGTATTTATTTCTTTATTTGTGTATTTGTGCCTTAGGTTCATTTGTTTTATATTCTGCTAATCTGCCAGATTTTCCTATAAGTTCCAATAGTGTTTTGACTGACTCTTTTGGTTTTCCTATGTAGAGAATCATGTCATCTGCTAATGAAGATAATTTTCATTTCTTATTTCCAATTTAAATTTCCTAAATTTCTTGACCTTGTCTAACAGCATTGATGAGGACTACCAATACTATGTTGAATAGCAGTGGTAAAAGTGGAGATCCTTGTCTAGTTCCAGATCTTGTTGAAAAAGCTTTCAGTCTTTTCCCATTAGGTATGATGTTGGGTTTTCATATACTGTTTTGCTTGTGTTTTAGAAGGTTCCTTCTGTGTCTATCTTGCTTAAGGATTTTGGGATGAAGTGGTCTGGGATTTTATCAACTGCCTTCTCTTCATCTATTGAGATGATCATATGGTTTTCATGTTTCAATTTGTTGATATGGTGTATCACATTTATGTGATTCAGTTGTGCATGTTTGATCACCCCTGGTATAACAGAGATAAATCCCATCTGATATGGATACATGATCTGTCTGATGCACTGTCGGAGAATATTGGTTGAGGATTTTTGCCTCTATTTTTGTCAGGGGTATTGGTCTGTAATTTCCTCTGTTGTTTTGGTATTAAGGCAATGTTGGTTTCATAGAAGCATTTGGAATGATTGCTTTCCTTTCTACTGTTTTGAATGGCTTGTGGAATATTGGGGTAAGTTGTTGAAATGTTTGGCAGAATTTAGCAGTGAATCCATTGGGTCCTGGGCTTTTGTCCCAGCCTCCCATGCTATACTTCTACTGGTGTCATAGATCCATGTTGCCCCTGTTGTCACATGTGGTGTCCACACTGTTGTCTGCCAAGCCTTTCTCCCACTCAGGGTTCCAGTAGCATCCTGGATTAGGGAGACATCAGTTGTGACTTCAAACTGTATCAAAGGGCTCTCCCTGGTGCTCATTTCCAGCTTTGTTTTTTATTTTCACTCCTTGCAGCAACCTGCTGTCAGTTAGGTCTGAGGACAATCCTGACCTATTTTAATAGAACCCATGAGATGCCACGTTGGTGTGATGTTCCCAATGGGACCAATAGAGTGCCCTGAGCCAGTGGTGAGTTCTTCTGGCTGAGCGTAGGTTCAGCTCACTGTTGTTCTCCCGGAGCCTTTGACGCAGAATTCAGATCAATTCAAATTCAATCCCTGTACCACTCCACTGTCTGCTGCTTGCCTGAGTCCACAGGTCTCCCGGATTCCCACTGCTGTTGGCTGTCCAGGATTGGGCCCTCTCTGCTGCTCCTCGCTTGTTCGTTCACCACCTGTTTTATTGTGTTTCCTCCTATCCCACCATCTTGTTCCTCTAAACCTGAGGAAATATTTTAAAGAAGGGGAATGTAGCTAGGTGTGTAGATTGTTCCAGAGTCATTTTATTTGGCTTCAAACTACATTGAACATGTGATAACAAGGGGGTCACATGTAAAGTTTTCGAGACTGATTTCAGTAGACAACAGAAGCTTCTGGGTAGTCGAGGATGTCACCTTGAGTGAGGAGCGAGTGTGAGGTGAGGAAGCATAACTAAAAAAGATAGCATGTACAAAGTGCGATACTAGAAAAGGTTTGTCTTTAAGTGCAATACGTGTGCTAAAATGAATATTAATTTATATTTTGTTATAAAAGTAAAACTTGCACAAAGCCATAGGACTTCCATGGAGAGATTAGAAAATCGCCACACTTTTTCGTCTGGTTTACACCTCAGTGAATGTAAAAACAGTTTTTCCCTTTGTGTTGTAGTCTCCTTGTAAAAGTTAATGACATTAGGAAAAGTATGCTACTAAGTGTTTTTCTGTGCATAAAGTTGAAGTGTATCTCAAAAATATTGCTTCTATTTGAGCACTAGCAGACATTTTTCTCCATGAAGTTATGGTGAAAATTGCAAAAATTTCCTGCCAAATCGTATCTGTCAAAATGATTTAGCTCTGCGCCTGTGCCACGAAAGCTGCCATAGACAGCAGGTGACACATGGTGTACTCTGCTCCAATAAAGCTGTCATAGACAGCAGGTGACACATGGTGTACTCTGCTCCAATAAACCCTCTTTACAAGTGTAGGATGGGTCAGATTTGGTGTGAGGTTGTCAGTTTACTGTTTCAAAAAAAGGAAAGCTTTTAAAACTCCCTCTTTCTTATGTTTAGGTATTTTCTAGCAGATGATTTTATCATTTATATGTATAATCAAGGATCGATGGAGTCTTTTTCTTCAGATAAACAGGTATAATTTAAGTTCTGTGTCTTACACACCTTTAAAAGCCTTTTTCTCCCCCAATGAATAATTGCTTTTATAATGTGTGAATTCTCAATAGTTATAAGGGATGAAAACACAGTATACACAGTATATACATAAATACATATGACATTGATTGATAAAGATTCATACACATGTACACAAGGATATATTCCATCCTTTGATAAAGGTTCAAACATACACACACATGTGATACTCATTAAGATTTGACTTTCCTGAAGTCTTAGTAAACTAATGGCATACTATTTTTGGCTTGGCGGTTACATAATGTTTGGAATATAGGTGCAATTCAGTTATTTATATTCTGTTGGATAAATGAAAGTAAAATAATAAGAATAGCATACAAAGTGTTTTGTACATTAATAGCAGCCATCTCTTGTATCATGCTTCCCCTTTCCCTTCCTGCCCCTCCGTGAGTCCTACTCACTTAGTCCTCCAAGCAGTGTTTCGGCAGTCTCTGTCTTCCTCGCCTTCAGTCGCTGATACCACTCATTTCCAAGTAAGCTTCACATCCAGACGTGGTCCCCCGAACAAGCTCTCTTTCACACTTTGCTGGTCTTCCTAGTCAGTTCACATCAAGGCAACCACACTGACTCCATAGAAACCTAGTTGGAGGGCTTCCCATTGTTGTCCCATTGCTCACAAATCAACAGCCAAATTAATTTCAGATTCTTCCATGCTTCACACAGTCCAGCTCCCTTTACCTCTCGGGTCTCATTTACTTTATTCATTATCTTAATTTATTCTAGTTATCCTGCTCTCCTGTCTGTTGTTATACATACACATTCTGAATACATATGTCCTCCCTTCAAAAACTTTTTTTAGAAAGATATATTTTTATTGAAAAGGCATGTCAGATTTATGGACAGAAGGAAAAACAAAGAGAAAGATCATCTGTCCGTTGGTTCATTTCCCAAATGGCTGTAGTTTCCAGAGCTGAGCCGATCTGAAGCCAGGAACCAGGAGCCAGGAGCCAGGAGCTTCTTCCAGGTTTCCCACGTGATGCAGGGTCCCAAGGCTTTGGGCCGTCCTCCACTGCTTTCCCAGGCCGCAGCAGGGAGCTGGATGGGAAGCAGGGCTGCTGGGCATGAACCAGTGCCTACACGGGATCCTGGTGCTTGCAAGGAGAGGATTTAGCCATTGAGACATTGCGCCAGGTCCTCAAAACCGGTATTTTCTACTTATTAATGTCTTCTCCCAAGATAGCATATACTCTCGTTTTTTTTTTTTTTTTCTTTTTTTCAATCTGCTCAGAATAACTGTTTTGGTCCTTCACTAACCCCTGTTTTAAATTGTATTCTTACTCTTTATGGTCTTTGTGGTTGCATCAGTTTTTCTTTGCCCATTGATAACTTTCAAAATGTGATGCACCATTTATCTGACCTATTTTTTTGTCCTTCATGAAATACAGATCTTCGTAAGAGAGAAGCTTTTTTTTTTTTTTAATTTACGAATTATTTTTGTTCTGTTTTTATTTACTAATGCAACACCAGTTCATAGATTTGAGCCCGTTATCTAATCAGCAGAAAATTAAAATCTGCTGAAATATTGAACTGGCCACACATTGCTTCCCTTTCCTGGGTAGAGAGATCGTTTTGCATGCCGGCTCCCTGTCATTTCCTTAACTCAAAGGAATATGTCAATAAGAAATACTGATCAAGTCCCTGACTGTATTGCTGGAGAACAGTTGTCTTTCTACTTTTATTTCTTGAACTCTGACCTTTCTCAAGTGTTGATCATCATAGGTCTCTAAAGAGCAGCATAGAGAAATTGAATGTCATTGAGATTCACAGTCTTTCCCGAAATCTTGAACACATGCTTTAATTTACTTATAGGAGAATCATTTCATCTAAAGGAAGAAAACACACTTGGAAGCAGAGCATAAAATAGTATTATTCCCAAAGCATAATCTAAAAAGAGTAGTTAATACGGTCAAAGTGGCAAATACATGGTGACTTTTTCTGAATGCCGCTTGGCAAACCAGGTAGCGTTGGGAAACTATTCAGAACACTCAATATAAGTTAAAGAAAAACAGGAGAAAGTTTTGTGACTTCCCAAGTAACCGCCTTCTCTCTTTCCTAGACTCACTGCTACTATCAGGGATATGTTGAAGGATATCCAAATTCCATTGTCATACTCAGCACGTGCTCTGGACTGAGGTCAGAAAGTTACGCTGTCTGCCTGGAGAAAATGTGCCGTTGATATTAAATGTGCATCTAGAGGAGGATTCTTATGTCAGCATCATTTGATTGCATCCTTATTTCAACACATTTTAGTTTTACATTCCTAATTGACTAGGCACCTTCCTAAGTTCCTGAGAGGTTAGATTCTGTTTCCTTGTCCATCTAAATTTTCTCGAGTACAGAAATGACACTTGGGAGTGCTTGATAACAGTAAGAAGGAGAAACAAAATTTAAGAGAGCTGATTTTTTTTTCTAGTAAATGCAGTATTCATGATTTCTCAACATATATCCCACTGTTTTTAAGACGAGCATCACATATTTTTTTGAAGAGATTGTGTTTAGTGTAAGCAAACAGATATCATAAAAACATAATTGTAATTGTATTTTTCTAATGTCACCATCATGGACTATTTCACAATTGTCGGCTTTTTTCTGTTTACTGTGACTTTCTATTCACTATTAAACTGTGTCATTGACATGGAAAACATATGAGCTGTTTAATCATTGTAATGCAATGTGCACTGACTAAGTCATTTTTTGTATACCTGGATACTGAGTTGGCAATTTGCCATTTGGAATGGGAAATCATTTTTTTTTTTTTAACGGATTAGGGAAATACCTGTCTCTTTGTAGTTATCCTTACAACAGAAGTGCAATATTTATACTGAAAACATTAGGTATCTTTGTTTCGTTTAAAATTTCAATTCTGTCAAAGCTTCATGAAACAAATTTGGCTAAAAGCAATTCGTTTTTGTTTTTTTAATTTTTCAGAGGCATACTGCAGTTTGAAAATGTCTCTTATGGAATTGAGCCTCTGGAATCAGTAGTTGAGTCTCCATATCTTGTTTATAAATTAGGGAATGAAAACAAGGAATTTTCAAGTTTCAACAATGATTCCGAAGACACAGGAAAACACCCCATGGACTACAATATTTATATAGATGAAAATGTGAGTTGTGTATGTTTTATTACTACTTTCAAAGCAGTTATTGGTTCATAAAATAAAAGTGTGTTAGGCTATTGTTTGCCTGTAGCAGTCCTTTCATATCAACAATCTAATCTTAACAATGTCTTTCAAGACAAATATCAACTTTTTCCCTCACAACAATCTATCACGTAATGATTATGACCTGCTTTGTTTATTTTATTTTTAATTTTTAAAAGATTTATTTATTTTATTACAAAGTCAGATATAAGGAGAAGAAGATCTTCTGTCTGATGATTCACTCCCCAAGTGACTGCAACGGCCAGCACTGAGCCGATCCGAAGCCAAGAGCCAGGAACCTCCTTCAGGTTTCCCACGTGGGTGCAGGGTCCCAAGGCTTTGGACCGTCCTCAACTGCTTTCCCAGGACACAAGCAGGGAGCTGGATGGGAAGCAGGGCTGCTGGGATTAGAACCAGCACCCATATGGGATCCCGGCGCTTTCAAGGCGAGGACTTTTAGCTGCTAGGCCACCGCACGAGGCCCCGTTTTTTATTTTCAATGTTAATATTATTTTTCTAAAAATTAAAAGTTATTGCTTAGTAAGTTAAAAGTTATTCCGTAGAGCAATGATAGAGAAATAGAGTTTTAATTTAGTCGGTGTTGACTGCATTCTTGCTTAGATGCCATACACAGAGTTGCCAGGTGTGACCTTGCAGACTGTCCACCATGCTGTCTGTGTCACTGCAAGTGATGGTCCTTGTAAAGTCCTTGCGGAAACAAGCGACTAAATGCCATGATAACGGCAGCACCTACATAGATTAAAAGAAAGGATGTGGCATTGCTATTTGTCTCCAGTAAGTGTCCTGCCCAACTCCTGTCAAGTTAAGGAAAATATACAAATAACAAATCTCAGAATTTGACCAAGCATGCAAAAAAGATGTAGTTCCTTGAACCCCATCACATGTAGTTGGGGGCTATTTTAAGAAGTTATAACTGATGACACGTGAGCAGAACTGATCTGTGCCCCCTCTGAGATGAACTCTAGAGGGAAATGTCTTATCTTCCATACTTTTTTTTTCCCCTGCTGGTCCACATTTCCAAGGATGATATCATATGGATAGCAAGGCAGAATAAATTTTATTCTTAGAAAAATTTGCATAATGGAACCACAAATGCCTACCCTGTTTAAGTTACCAATGGGCTCCTGGCTCTGTTGTAATAGGATAAGACTCAGTGTATTCTGTATAGTTTCAGATATAGGTATATTTAAAACTAATTTTTTTGTAACAGATTAGAAAATTTTAGTAATAATTTAGGAATGAGATTTCCAAGGCTTGGATTAATTGGCAACGTGAAGAGTGTTGGTGCTCTGCCCAAATGCTCTTGAACTTGCTCCTGTTGTATTTCTGTAAAGGTGTGGTGGATGTTAGAATACTCTGTCTTTACTCTGTGATTTTGCTTTGTAACAATTGGCAACTGTGACCTTTTAATTTGTTTCCAATGCCCTGGTGGCAAGGAAGGGAGCTCACATCTGGCACTGATTCTCCAAAGGGTGACAGTGGATGAGGCTGCGCCAGGCCAGTGCCCAGGTGCATTCCTAGGTGCTTTAGCAGGGAGCGGAACAGGAACTGGTGCACCAGAGTCTGGAGCTGGTGTCCCTGTGGGCAGCCAGCTTCCCAGGCTCAATCACAAAGCGGGCCTGGCCCTGAGTGCACATTCTTGTATGGCTGCCACCTGCTCCTAAGCCTTCTTCTAACATTGCTTACTCAGTTACTCTCAGGGTAAATGCTGTAAAAATAAACATCCCCCCCGCAAAAAAAATTTTTTTTAATGCAAGAATTCTGACTCAGGCCTGTCTTTCCACAGCAATGTGGTTCCTTTTAAGCATTTATACACATTCAGTCTCTAATGAAATGATTTCACAGTTGAGCACATATCAAGCCAATTGATGGTTTTTGTAACATCCTAACTGTAGGGAGCTGCTTCTCCTCCCGATCCATGGATGTGCCGTGCAGTATATACGTAAATAGAAAGTGAAGCAGTGAAGAACAGAAGTGAGTTCCTTAATGCAAAGTGGCAAAAGCTCCCCCAGGCAGGGGATGTTTCAGAGACATTCCCCGAGTTGGGAAATGGTTCCTCTTATAAAGGCTGGTCTCTACGTATTTTTCCCTCTCTCTTTACTCTTATGTTGGAAATAATGGCCTCTCACATAGTGTATGCAGTAATGATTTTTTTTTTTTAGATTGGCTCCATGAGCATGAAAGAAGTCAGAAAGTGGACCCCCTATTTCTATGCACAAGCACAGGTCGAGAGTATGACCCTCTCTGTCTACACACAAGAATGGTCATACTAAACATTTTTCCATATACCTCAATCTCAGGTGTCTATTGCACCTACTTTAAATTTGCATTTTGTTGGCATTCCACTCTCCCGCCCTGGAGGGGTAGAAATCTAGAATTGGGAAAAAAAAAAAAAAGGCCACTGGTGTTCTGTGTTCTCATCTCAGTGGTCTTCTTTCCCTGTGGTTGGAAAGTGACAGGCTCTGTAAGGCAGGTTGAGAAACTCAGGCTACTTAGCGACATTACTAGTTGTCTGGAATAGTGGGAAAAAAGGTGACAGAAAAGCACAAAGCTCCCCTTGGATTCGCTTAATGATTTTCATTAAAGCTGGAATAACTGCACTAAGAATTGAAGTCATGTGGATGAATGCATAGAACACTGAAATCTGTGACTTATAAGGAACAGAGTTTTAACCCTGATGATGGAAGATTCCTCTTGATAATGCAGAAGGAAGCATTTCAAGAGCAGCATGCCTGTCAGTGGACCTAAAAGAAGTGTCTAGGCCATTCCGAGTGCCAGTTGTGGAAGACGATAATAATATTACCTAAATAGAGGATTTTTTAAAACACAAGATCCTACCCAGCCTTTCAAGCTGAGATGTAAAAGGCCATCAGCAAAATAACTGAGTGAATGAACAAGTAATTTTAAAGATACCTGAAGTCATTAAAACGCCTGTGGCCTGGGAAAGCAGAAGACAATGGCCCAAAGCCTTGGGACCCTGCACCCTTGTGGGAGAGCAGGAAGAGTTTCCTGGCTCCTGGCTTCAGATGGGTTCAACTCTGGCCATTGAGGCCACTTGGGCAGTGAACCAGAGGGTGGAAGATCTTTCTATCTCTCCTTATGTCTGTAAAACTGCCTTTCCAATAAAGAAATCACTCTTAAAAAAAGAAATGGGGAGGAAGGCCAGAAGGAGGAAAGCAAGCATGAGAAGGAAAAATGCAATGCTGTGTTCTTAGACCTTTATCTGTGGACTATGCTGAATCTGTTTAAAACTGAAAAACTAAAAACAGACAAAAGTTTAAAAGTGAGAAACACAGCCATCAAAGTGAGAAAGAGCACACGTTTCATTATAATTAAACCTGAAAATGGACGTAAGAGAGATGGAGGGATCCATGTCTGAAGAATGAATGAAAGCACTAGAACTAGAGCTTCAGCCTTGTCAGAATCATGATGGTGCCTGAAAAAATTAATTTGCGTTTTGAGATTCTAACCGGTTTATTCGTAGCGGACTGACATCCATTCGGATTCATTTTTAAAACTGTGATGGTGTAATGAGTAGAATTTTTACTCAGCCAATAATATAATACAGAATGGTGGATATTCTCTTCCCTTCGTTTCTCACCCTCCTGCCCTTTTACCTTGCCTTCTTCTTCTACTCTGCTTCTTCACTCCCCTCCCCTCCTCTCCCCTCCCCTCCCCCCTCCCCTCCTCTCCCCTCCCTTCCCCTCCCCTCCTCCTCCCTCCCCTCCCCTCCCCTCCCCTCCTCCCTCCCTTCCTCTCCTCCCTCCTCCCTCCCCTCCCCTCCCTCCTCCCTCCCCTCCCCTCCCCTCCCCTCTCCCTCCTCCTCTCCCCTCCTCCTCCTCCCTTTCTCCTCCTCCCCTCCCCTTCCTCCCTCCCTCCCCTCCCTCCTCCCTCCCTCCCCTCCCCTCCCTCTCCCCTCCCTCCCCTCCCTCCTCCCCTCCCTCCCTTCCCCCTCCCCCTCCCCTCCCTCTTCCCCTCCCTCCCTCCTCCCTCCCCTCCCCTCCCCTCCCTCCCCTCCCTTCCTCCCCTGCCCTCCTCTCGCCTCCCCTCCCTCCTCTCTTCTTCCTTCCCTGCTGAAGTCTTCTCATTTTTTTTGTCTCTCTGTTCTAATTCTACCCTGCTCCTCCCACTTCTCCCATCTTCTCTTGCCTGTTGTTTTCGTAATGCACAATCCTTTGTCTGTGAGATAAAACTTAGGCAATAAATCACTGCCAAAGTAGCTTGGATTTGCCCTGTGTAACTCCCCCCACCACACTCAACTGTCAATGATAAACTAATTAGAAAAATCAAGAAAAAAAGATAGAAAAGGGAGCATTTAAAAACTAAGGCAACTAATAAAATGCATATAAAAAGGAAGCCTGTTTCTGAATTTGAAGGAAAAAAGATTATGTGAAATTTATTCCCTGATGTTAGAATCATTGAATGAAAACATAGCAACAATCAGAGACTTGGGGCATAGGTGATGGACTTATGAGTTTAAACAATGTGCAAAAATAGTGTATAAAATGGTGTATGAGAGTCACAGATTACCTCCGTGTGAGTTTCAATATCAGCCTCGTTGTGTGATCTTCTACTGCATTCGTCAGAAGGTAAGTCAAGGGGTAGTGTCTGAAGAGATGGAGTGATGAGCAGATACTGGATGAGGGTTATATGGAAGTAAGAAGTTTGGGTAGTCTGATGCACAGCAGGATAGCTATAGATAACCAACTGTTCATTCCTCTATTAAAAGAAAAAACAACTTCAGTATAGGATTGTGAATGTTTTGAACATAAGGAAATATTAGGCATTTGTGGACATATCTGAGTCCTGATTTCATATTGTAAACATGTATTATAGCATCACATATATTCAATAACTTTATAGAACTTGCAGATATTAATTGTTTAACTGAAAACAAAAATAGTATAAAGGACTTGTTGTGTTTTTGACAAAAATATTGTGGTGGGGGCCAGCGTTGTGGTGTGGCAGGTAACGCTATTGTCTTGTGCAACAGCATGCTGCAGGGGTTGTGCACACGTTTGAATCTAGAGCTCGACTGAGTAATATATTACAGCTTTGTAACCCATATTCTTCTGACTAGAGTCCATTGCCGTAAGACGTAAAGCACTGATAATTGTTATGAACCAATTTTAAAAAGCAAATATTGACATATGCTCGTAAGACTATGGTAATACAGTTTTAATGAAGGATTTGCAGTATACAAACTATGAAAGATTTCAAGTGTTTTGTGCCGCTTTTTTTTTTTTTTTAAGCTGGAACCACCTGTTTTGGATGTATTTCCTCTTTATTTAGAAATGAACATCGTGGTGGACAAAGCTTTGGTATGTAGCTTGATTTTGCTTTCTTTTTGCTTTTAAATATTGCTACCAATGTATGATTTCTCACAGTTTACGAGCAACTAAAAGACTCTGAAATTTTTGCTTGCCTGCCATACTCAGAAAAATAGGAAAGCATGCTAGCTGAAAAACCCAAGTAGACGAGATATGGTGCATCGTAAATGTTTTATTTTGAATTTTTACGTAACAATTTTACAGAATTAAAGGATTGTTGCTGGTCATTTACATTGTAAGGGCTTTGTTGATCTTATTTATTGATCTCATTCATACTGGTTTTAATGGAGATATGTGGTCATGATGAATTTTTTTTAAAACTTTTAAATCTTATTAGAGGGATGCTGTGAAGAGCAAGTAGTCTGTATTGTAGGGGATGTTTTGCTGTATTTATTAGGACAGAAGTTGTGGCCATGTAATAATCATCTGTAGAATGTATGAGGACGGCTTACACTGTAGGTCACGTGAATACAACATATGAGTAATGGGCAGAGGGTGAGGCCGGGAGTGATTGTACAATCATCTTGATGATATACAGGGATCAGGCTGCCGATTGGAAAATGGGAGATGTGATCGTGTAAGAGAATATTATAGTAATCAAGATAAACACCTCAAATAAATGAATATTTTTAGCACTAGAAAGAAAGAGGCAACTTTTAGAAATTGTCTTCTTCATAAAAAAATTTTGTGCTTCAATCATTTGCGGAACAGCATTTGGGTACAGTTTGGTTAGGCATGTAGCAACAAACATACAGAAAAAAATATCTGGTTTCATGACGCATGCAGTGAAATAAGTGCAGGCTGTAAGAGGGTCACTCTATCCACTTACAGGTTAATATGCTTGTGTTTTGCAGGGAGGCTGTTGAGATGAGTTTCATTTTGTGTGTGGATTTAGCATTGAATAGTTTAAGGATCCCAGAATATTAAAGCGTAATGGAGCACTTAGTTGATATAGAGATATGTTGATTTATTTGCAATAGCGAGTTTATTCATATTTCAGTATTTACATCTGATTTGTGCACGTGTGTACGTGGGAGCTGTGCCTCAGTATCAGAGTGGTGGTCTTGAGTAACTACACCCACAATCAAGATACTCAATAGTGCTATCCGCACCAGCCTGTTATGGCTACCTACGGGAGAGCCATTCCCCACTGCCAACTTCCATCTTGCGTTTTTAACCTTGGCAACCACTTAATTCTTCTCGTTCGTGGCTTCACAAGTATTTTATAATTACTCGTGGACATTATGTGTGAAGCATGTATCATAATTTATTTTGTACTCAAAATAATTACCTTAAGGGTTTCTTTTTTTTCCAAATTGTTAGCTATTTCATCAGTTCAGTTCTATTTTAGAGCTCAGTAATACTCAATGGTATGAATGCGCTATTTTATTTAAACATCTGACCAAGGACATAACCAAGGAGCTATTTCCAGTTTTTGGAGTATTATGAATAAAGTTGTTAGAGATGTTTGGTGTGAGTACATGTTTTCATTTCTTTGAGATAAAATGCCTAAAAATATGATTTCTGGATCTTAGAATTTGTTGGTTATTTGTTTAAAAGAGAAATTGCCAAGCCCTATTTCAGAGTGGGTGTATTATAAGGAGTGTATGAGTGATCCAGTTTAAAAATTCCGAATGCTAGGGCAGCCTCATACCCGACAATAGATGGACAGTAAGTCTCAAAACCATCATGTAAAAAATTACACTGAAATATGAAATTAATTCTGTTTTTCAGTATGAATACCTGGGTTCTGATACCATGATAGTAACAAATACAGTCATCAAAGTTATTGGCCTTGTAAACACAGTAAGTATCTCATTTTCATAGATGACAGAAATGTTAATTTTGAAATTATAATTGGTATTAAAACTTTGGACTGTGTTTCTAAATAATTAAGTCACCGTATGTAATGAGTACGTCAAATCAACATCTAGGTTATCTAAAAATAAAGAGAGATTAATTTTGCACGCTTGTCTCTTGTGTTTTTAGATGTTTATCCGTATTAAAGTTTCTGTTGTCTTGTCATCGTTGGAGTTGTGGTCAGATGGCAATAAGATATCTACTACTGGTGAGGCAGATGAATTACTGCATGCATTTTTAAAATGGAAACATACTTATCTTGCCTCAAGGCCTCATGATGTTGCCTATCTATTCATGTAAGCATGTCTCAATACTCCTAGAAGGGTAAAGAAAGAAACTGATAATGACATAATGATGATAATGATATAATTTAACATAGAGAACTGCTGTTCATTGATAGCTGTTTGCACTTGACTATCCAGCCTATGCTTCATTCAGGCTTCATGCTGGTGGTACCGTTTTAAGACAACATAAAATATTACTCAAATTCATTTCTTTGATGATACACTTTGTACAAAGGTCCAGTTTATTAAGACCAGAGCCCATGCTAATTACTACATAGAGATGGGATTTATTTTACAACCTCTGTATTTTTCTTGTATTTTGATAAAAATTTTATTATCGTAGGTCAAAAGGATTTTTGTTGCAATGAATTGTCTGCATGCTTTAAATCTAATCATGTTATAGTTATATTTTATGACTTTATTCACGTTAATTTAGCAACAATAAGAAAATTTCAGTAAGTCTCTGTGTATATGTGTCTTTGTAACTAGAAATGTCTATATGAAACTTTCAGCTGGCGTATCAAGCATCCCTTTTGCATGTGTGAAGTTAATTTTCCGCTTATATCTCCACCAATAAGTATTGTTTGCAATTTTATGAATTTTAATAAAACTAATTGTCATTTTCACTTGCTTCCCCCTCCCCCCCCAATGAAAGGCATCTTTTCATATGCTTCACACATCATTTGGGCCTGCCTTTTTATGTCTTGTCACTGTTTTATTTATTAGAAAGGAGGAGAAAGGGAAAAACTGGATCAAAAGTTGTGTAGCTTGGACTCAAGCCTACACTCCAGTATAGGAGGTGGGTGTCTGGATTGGTAGCGTGAACCTAAGAACCACAATGTACACCTCGCACTGAAATCTAAACAGTGGAAATGAGGGAGGAGATGTTGTTTCCTGCCTCATGGATCCGTTATTTTGCCAGACATTTATCTAGCACATTTGTCACACATTTGTGAAGTTGCATAAAAACCTGTCTTTTTTTAGATTTTAATAGAATTCCATCTACCTATTTGGTGAGAATGGATGTATTCACAAGAGCGTGTCTTCCGGTCACTCCGAAAATCATGACAACTTTCTACAGAAGTTGTCAGCAAATTTTTCTAGGTGTCCTATATTTTATGTCAGCATAAAGAGGATATTCATGTCCCAATCATATCAGTATTAACTAATAATTTATATGACAGTTTATTCTTTGTGCTTATGTAAGCTAATTTTGAAAAAAAAATAATTTACCTGTTGAGATTTATTCATATGTTAAACTACCAGGAAATTGTGATCAATTTAATCCTTCTAATCTGGTACTTATAATATTGATAGCTTTATGGTGTTGATTACTAAAATGACAATAAATAAGTTGGTGAGCAAGTATGTTTGTCACTTTCCTGATTGGAAAGTATATATAATATACATACATGTATAATTCATATGTACATACACACACACATATATATATTTTTTTAGTTAGTTGAAGTGCAAGTTATAGACATTGAGAGATACAGCATGCTTTCATCTCCTGGTTCACTGCCCAAATGGCTGCTGAAGTTGGGGCTGGTCAGGGACAAAGCCAGGAGCCAGGAGCTTTTTGCTGGTCTCGCGAGCATTCCACCTGTGTAGCAGAGGCCTAAGGACTTGGGACATCTTTTGCTGCTTTTCCCAGTTGGATCAGAAACAGGAGGAGCCAGAACTTGAAACAGCACCCATAAGGATGCTGCCAGGTTGGTTTAATTCTTTGGAAGAGAATATTCCTGTATTTTAAAATTTAGTATCTTATTTGTTGTGGAGTTTCTGTGAAAACTATATCAACCCCTAGGAAGTCGCTTTCTGTGTTTTTCTTAATATGGCTCTTTCCACCCCCCCCCCCCAAATCCTGTATAAATGTTACATCCTTTTATCTGTCTTTTTTTTTTTTGTTCATCTACTGAAAAAAAAATATAGACTGTACTGATGCTTTTTGATATCTGCATTACTTTGTTTAGTATTGACTTGTGCTTGACATTGTGAGGCAGTAGTTGAAGCCACTGCTTCTGCTAGCTGCACCTCGTGGCCGAGTGCTGGCTGTCTTGGCTGTGCTGCCTCAGGTCCAGAAACCATCCTGAGATGGCGTGCTTGGGAAGGCAGTGTAAGATGACTCAAGGACTTGGCCTCTGGAACTCATGGGACACCTGGATGAAGTTTCTAGTTTGTGGGGAGGGCACGGGGACAGGTTGGGGGAATCCCAGAGCCTATGAAACTGTGTCATAAAATGCAACGTAATTAATCATAAAAAAATACAAAGTAAATCTTTAAAAAATTGTGAAACGCCATTTAATCTGTGACTATTTTTGGAACTTGACTACAAATCATTGGCATACCAAATATCATGTTTCATCCCACAATCTCATGATTGGCTCATGCATACCCTTGTTTTAATAATGCAAGTGTGAGCTCAACATCTCATGAAAAGCCTATGACCCTCTGGCCCATTCTGCTACCTCTGAAAGTTTGAAATGTCCAGTAGCCTGAATACCAATGATCACTACTCTCTTGCATTTCCCTTGTTTTAAAAAAATAGACATTGTTTTAATGTGTCAATATAGATTTCAAAGACTTACGTGTAAAAATCATGTAAAAGTTTTTGTCCTGAGTATTAAAATGCTATTAGATATAATATTTTGGAGCTTACCTTTTTAACTTAATTATATATCTGCTGTTATTTGTATTATTTATTGTATGTCAATCGATTTTTTTCACATGCACATTTAAGGATCTTTTCCTTATGTTTGATTAAAGAGAGTTTGATCATGTGTCTTGGTGAAGATCACTTTTGGTCAACCCTGTTGGGAGTTCTGTGTCCCTCCTGGATCTTGTTTCCCAATTCTTCCTCTAGATTAGGAAAATTTTCCTTTATTATTTCATTAAATATATTTATAAAACCAGTTTCTCTTTCTGCACCCTCTGGGACTCCCATAACTCTTATATTTGACCTCTTTATAGTGTCTTTCAATTCTTGAATAGTTTTTTGGCCTCATCCAGCTCTGCTTCCAGCTTTTGTTTGCTTCTCCCTGATGACAGGAAATATATGCCAATTTTGAGATTCTTTCTTCTGCTTGCTTCATTCTACTTTGGAGACTCTCCACTGAAGTTTTAATTTGCTCTACTGTGTTCTTAACTTCTGATATATCAGCCTTGATTTGCTTTATTGCTTCCTTAAATTCTTTAAACTCTTGTATGTGCTTCTCATTGTTGATCAGAAGCTTTAAAATGAGTTTTCTGAATTCTGTGTCCCCCATTTTCTTGATGACTTTCTCAGTTAACTCTGAGGTTAGCAAAGGCTTTTGTGCTTTTGCAGGGGAGTTTTCAGTAGTATTGATTGTGCCTTTGTCTCTTCTTTTGCTCTTAGTCATTGTACATCTAGTTAGTAGAGTCTTCTCCATGGAGCAGGTTTCTAAGCTCTGTCACCCACAGGTCTACAGTTCAATTTTACTTGTTGCAGTTGGTGCACAACTCTTTGCTTGTAGCCAATTCTGCCACTCCCTCCAGCGAGTTCTAGGTCTGGGTTCTTATGTTAGATTTCCACCAAGAACTCCATAGACCCAAGAACTCCTGGCTCACCACTCTCCACCTCCTGTGATGCCATGCTGAGGTTGCATTGTTGGCTCTGCAACCTTTCTCCCACTTTTGGTTGGAGCAGGTCCCAGGATTAGGGAGACATCAGGTGTCCTATATAGCTAGGTTGTTGGTGGCACTGATCTTGCCGGAACCTAACCTTGTTGGAGTTTAGGTTTGGGTGCAACACGGACCTAATTTGACCTGCACTAGCCTACAGTCAGTATTATTTTCCTGCGGGACCCGTGCAATCCAAGGAACTCAGTGAGTTCTCACGAATTCAGTACATGCGCAGTTCACTGTTGTCCCCTGCAGTCCTAAAGCGTTTGCCACAGTGTACAAAATGGTGCCTGACGAACCACTACTAGAGTTCTTGATCTGCTTGCCATCAGGTCTGAGGGCTACTCAGACCTGCTCCAGGTGGAAGCCATAGAATGCCACACTGATGTAGTTCACTGAGTCAGAACTGAGTTCACTCCCAGCTCAGCGTATGCTCAGTCCTTTCCCCTGCCTTTGCCTCCTTAAGCAGCATGGCATCCAATTCAGCTTGTTGGGGGCTGTGAAATCCATGTTGTTCTCGCACTGCATGTCTGAGATCTGCTGCTCTGTCTCTGCTCCTGGTCAAGTCAAACGGACCAGCAGGATGGACGGTTCTTTGTCTGGGTTCACCTCCCAAGCTCCCAGTGAAAGTCCCTTCCTACCTGGTGGCTGGTGGAGTTTCGTTTGCTGGTAGAGTTCAGATCCCCTCTTAGCTGAATGCTGCTGGAGTATCAGTCACTGCAACACCACACTGTTGTGTCTGCTGCTTTCCTGTGTCTGTCAGTCTCCACGTACTCATCTGCTGTTGTTCTGTCCTCTCCTATTTCCTGGAATGTGTCCTCTCTACTTCATCCTGATTAAATGTTTCTCCGTCTGATTTAAACGTGTCCTTACCCTATTCCACCATCTTGATTCTCCCTTGTATTGTTTATTGTACATATTTTTCTTGATTTTTCTCATATAAGGAAAGTGTGATGCTATTTCCAACAAATGAAAATACATTTCATACTTAAACGAATACCTGCTGTTATGTAGAGCATCTTGTTAAGGTGTAGTTGTAGGTGAAACAGAGCAACTTTCCATATTTCTTAGTCTGAAGACTTCTATTCATTCTGTGTTGGACTGCTTTACCATGATACCCCCACGTGGCAGTGTTTCCTTTACCCTTCGAAGCTCTGTCGCTCTGCAGTCTGCATCTTCTGATATCTTCTGTTTGAGATGTGCCTCTTGTCTTCCAACATGATCCATTGCACTTTGGAACTTTTTGTTGTTGCTGTCTGAGATTTGCAATATCTGAGTTTTTCTACCCATTTCTATCCTTTTCTTTTTTCTGCTTCTTCTGATACTCATGCCTTTAGTTATTTGCCTGCTCATCACGTCCTGCCTTCTGATTTGATGTTATGTGACATTCACTGAGATGTGAATTCCACTGGTCTTCTTGTTTCTCTCTTGGTTGCTGTTATTTCTGAGTCTCTATTCTAGATTGGCTATTTGTTGATTTTGCCCTTATTAAAGTTTAAGATTGGGATTATAAAGTAAATTAAAATTTATGTTCCACTAAGCATATGCTGAGTTCACGTTGTTTATTTAATTCAATTTAATTTTTAAATTTTAGTTTGCTAGATTGTTTTTAATTTGTTTTTAATTTCCATGTCCCACTAAGTATATGAATAATTTGTACTGTTTTTTAAATAAATTTCTTATTTCATATTTTTGAAGCTGCTTTGTTTTATCCTAATTTTGCTGCTTCATTTTGCTTTTTAAAATTTCTGTCCCTATGATTTGCTGTTAAAAGTGCATTTTTTGTTGTTTTTTATTTTACTTATTATTATTATTATCATTTTATGATACAGTTCCATTGGCTTTGGGATTTCCTTTATCTTCTTGTCAGTTCCCTCCTCCCTCACTGAGTTCCCTTATATCATTACTATAGTATAGTTCTTCATACACAATCATATGTCCATCATTGTGGGCATAAGCAATGGCAGAGGATCCAGCATCTTGTCGTGAAGATATAGTGAACAGTTTCATTGGGAGTCCATCTTTAGTCTGGAAGTAGACATGCACACTGCATTGCATCCTCACATCTGGATATGATAGTCTCCATTACACAGTTGCTATACATCCCCTTAAGTGAAAAACCACACTACAAAATCAACAACAGGAAGAAAAAGAAAGAAATTGACAACACCATGAAGTTAAATAACATGCTACTGAATGACTAATGTGTCACTGAAGAAGCAAAAGTTAGTGGTATGAATTAAAGATGCCTGTAATTGACCCCATCAGGGTTATGCAGTTTTTCGGTGAAACTGTAAGAGTTGCAAAGTTTGAGTTTTTAAAATATATGTTGGAAGAGCTATTTTGCTTAAAGAGTATACTTAAATATGGGAAGCATAACCAAAGTTGAGTATTAGAAACAAACTTTTTCAAATAAGTGACAGACAGGTTTAGTACAAAAAAACAGTCCGAAGCACAGAATAAAGATGGCTTTGAGAAAACAAAGGGCTGGTGAAGCAATATGCAACTGAGCCGGTAGTTACATGTCAAACTGAAGACCAAGAGCCACTCTTATTTGCCATCATTCTGACATAGAGCAGAACTGTGAGGATGACAGTATTGTGCCATAGTAGGTCAAGCCACCTGCAACAACAGCATCTCATATGAGCGCCAATTCCTGTTCCAGTACCACTCCTGCAATCCAAGTCCCTGGCAACGATCAGAGAGAAGTAACAGAAGATAATCCGCGTGTTTGGTGGCAGGCTGCTCGTGTGGGTGACCCTAAAGATCCTGGCTCCTTGTGTAGGCGTGGCCCAGTCCAGGCCTTTCCAGCCACTTGAGGGGTGAACCAACTGGTGGAAAATCTCCCATATGCATCCACTCCTCTCTGTCACTCTGCTACTATCTAGATAACTAACTCTTCAGAAAGATAACTACGGCAGTATATTAACAATGACATGTTTCTTACATAACTCTGAATTTTATTTTTTAAGAGAGAAGTTTCTTTTTGTCCACACATGTGTTGGCATATCACCGTTCAATTTGAAATGTTCCTAGAAAATAAATTGGTCACCATTGAGAGTGTGGCATTCTATGTGTGGAAGAGTGTGACTCAGACTGCCCAAGTTCCTTCAGCATATCTAATATACTTACAATGCTGTATTTGTAGAGTTACCTACAGTTCCCAGCGAATGCGTTATATCTTTAATGAGAGTTAAATGAGAGTTAAAGTATTAGTTTTACAGTTTTACAGTATTAGTATAAGTATTAGGTTTACCTTGAGAACTAAATGGATAATACAGGTGAAGTTTTGAAATTCTGTTATTTCTATAGGTGAGGGGTTTTTTTTGGATCATATCCAAAACAGAAAAAAAATTCCACTATTTAACTGTAATAAAATGATGTCATTTCCATAAAAACCTGTTGAGCTTTTTGATATGCGGATTAGAAATTTTGATACATAAATTTAAAATGTTCATTGTCATTTAATAAAGATGCTTTTGATGAAAGGTTTAGTTCAGTCTTCCCCAACTATGTCGAATGCAAGGAAGCCACCAAACAGCTTTGTTGGATGCATGGAAAATCAAATTTATTTAAACCAATTAAAAAAAGATCTTTCAATCTTTCAAGCCATTAAGGCCATATAGAATGATTGTTCCTCAATTTACTTTGGAGTTTTATGAACAGCATGCTAAATTTGCCAGCAGCCACCCAACATGGGTTTTTAATTATAATGAGTTATGTATATTTATTTATTTATTCAGCTATAGGGATTATCCAGCTTATGTGGGTGCGGTGTTTCCTGCAAAGATATGTAATGCAGATTATTCTGCAGGAATCGCAGTGGTATGTAATCATTTAATCCTACCTTAAAATATTGTACACGTTTAAAAATTGTCAATGCAGTACCTTATATTTCACATATTTTGCATCTGTGCTCAAGTTCAGAGATTGTATTCGCTTTCCATTACTGCTAACATTTAAAAGCATGTCTAAGGAAAATATTTTGTGAAAAAATTATTTGCAGTTAATTATAATTGGAACTAAGAGGGGAGTAAAAATATAGATGAATACATATATTCAGCAGTACATGGAATAGCACATTTTAGAAAATTATATCCATAACCCCAGCAGATTTTCTGCTTATATACACGGAATTATAGAAATAAACTCACTCATAACTTCAAAATAAAAAAAAAGTCAATAAAAACTACAATAAAAATCATTTAAATTAGGCCCAGTGTGGTAGCTCAATTGAGTAATCCTCCCCTTTTAAGCACTGGCATCCCATATGGGTGACCATTCATGTCCAGGATGCTCCTTCCCATCCAGCTCTCTACTTGTGGCTTGGAAAAGCCTTGGGTCCCTGCTCTTGGCTCCTGGATTCAGATATGCTCAGCTCCTGCCGTTATGGCCGTTTAGGGAATAAGCCAGCAGGTGGAAGATCTTTTCTGGGTCTCTCGTTCTCTCTAAAATCTTCCATTCTAATGAAAAGAAATAAATCTTAAAAAAAAAAAACTATAAAATTGATGAAGCTCTATGAGCCATTTCTCCCTGCTTCTGACACTTGTAAGAACAAGATTCAATGCTGTGTATTTTAAAATGGCATTGTAATTCATGATAATTATATCAAATTTGTTAAGTAAGTATAGGAACACATGAGAAAATTCCTGTAGTCTGCCATATTATCACCTGAGTGGAGACATCATTGAGTAAGTGATAGATGTAGGTGTATTAAAAGGTTTGTCGAAAGTCAGAACTAAAATATGGCTGTATTTTAGTGGAAGACATTTGAAATATGTACATAGCTTATTTTATAATACACATTTTCATGAGTTTTTGAACATTACTGATGTTCATGTATTTAAAAGTACTTTGTTTCAAAATCCACTTATCATTTATGTTTATATTTAATCTTACAAAGGTATTTTCAAGTCCTTGATATCCTCTAATTTGTGCTTTTCTTGTTTGCTGCAACTTGGGATTCTGCACATAGCTTTCTTCCCAATACTTAGGTTTTATTGCAAAATGAATCCCTATACTTAATACATATTTTAAACCACAAATTTACAAACCAACAAATTATAGTGAAGCTCTTTTACCCCCTTTCAAGTATTCCTGTTTAAGAATTTTTATTTAGGTTCTTCTGTTCATTTAATTTAGTGACTTAAAAATTATTTAACTCCTACTTTGATTCATAAATGATCAATAGTATTGGCAATATTATCTTTGACATATGTTGGTCACCATCTTTTCTTGTTAAGTCATTGTGCCTACATGTATATACGCTAACTTCTATTGTCTTAAATTTTGAAATACATGGGCAGTTTTCATGCAGTACAATTTTTATCAACTTTTAAAAGTAATTTTCAGGACTTTTTTTATGAAAGTTATGTATTTGAGAGATAAATTGGATTTATGAGTTTTCTTCATTTTGAACGTTTTGGCTAGTGCTGCATTCATTCTATGATTATAGAATAATTTGAGAGTGTTTTTCTTTTACAAATTTTAAAGGAAGAAAAAAAGGAAGGATGGCATTTAGGGAGGGAGTGAGGGTTATCTTACTAGAATTATATCGAGGTAGTACATAAAAGTGTGTGCTATTTATATTAATAGACATTTAAACTATTTTTAACATTCATGACTAAGATTCAGTTCTTCTCCCTCCCTCCCTCCCTCCCTCCCTCCCTCCCTCCCTTCCTCCCTCCCTCCCCCTCCTCCCCCCCCTTCCTCCCTTCCTCCTTCCTCCTTCCTTCCTTCCTTCCTTCCTTCCTTCCTTCCTTCCTTCCTTCCTTCCTTCCTTCCTTCCTTCCCCTCTTCCTTTCCTTCTTTCTTTTTCTCCTCTCTTTCTAACCTGGTCTTGACATTTTCCAGCTAAGGCCTCTTTTCTCTGGCAAGGACAGTACAGATGTGTTTGCTCTGCTCCCCTCAGTTGTTCCCATCCCAGGTTTCAGACTCTGTTGCGTTTCTTGCCACATTTAGGTTTTCAGGTATGGTCCTGGGTCTCTTGCCTGCACAGCATAGACGGCTGACTTGAGTGCCGCTGCAGGGACGTTGTGATTATATGCTTGTTCACAGCTTCCCCGTTCAGTGCCCACTATGTGTGTTTTCATGGCTGTCCTAAGAAGCCAGCTCAGTTCCAATTCCTTACTGTTTATGTTTGCACTATTGCAGATCGCCCATCTCTTATCTGTGAGAACCTATTTGGAGAAATGATGAATTATCCATGTACCTACCATTCCTCTTCAAAAGTGAAGTTAACTGCAGTTTTTTTATCCTCTAAAAATTATTGTTACTTTCCATACAGTTTTGCAAGTGTATGGGGGATTTTTTTCCCTTCTCCTCCCATTTTCCATCCACGTTGTTTTCCCATAATTCCACGAATGATATTTACAGAAGATTTTCTCTGTGGTTTCTTCTGATGCAAGATACTGTGGCAGTGAGGGTCCTCTCAGGATGCAGAAAGTATAAAAGTAGACCACTTGATTATTATGCAATTATTCCCGTCAGCTGTTCTAAAAAAATGGGTGATTTGAATGTGATGTGTCCATGTAACTGAAAGTCTTTTGAAAACATTTTTCTTCATGAAATACATCTTTTTTTTTTAACCTAGTTGGGGAAATTTCACTAAATTTCTTACTTTTTAACTATCAAATTATGCGAATGCCTGACATAAGTGTCCTATGCCTAGATCTCTTTCAAACTTAACATGAAGAGCTTTAGCTTTTTATATGCCCTAAAGAACCATATCTCTCTATTCTTAAATACTTGCTCAAGAACCAAAAATATTCAGAATTAAAACAGTTTAGACACCCTCGACTCCTTGCCTTGCCTTCCATTTAGATTCTCTTGGCTGTCGTTGCAGTATTCTAAGGAGATAACCTTGGAGGCCTTCTCAGTTATTGTCACCCAGATGCTGGGACTCAGTCTGGGGATCTCATACGACGACCCTGAGAACTGTCACTGCCCAGGAGCCATCTGTGTAATGAATCCAGAAGCTGTGTAAGTTTACAAGTACTTATTTACTGGGCATGTTTATTCTGTTCTAAATATCTAAAGTGCAACAATTTAGTACTCATGTATCACACGAAGTGTGGTTAGAAAATTAAAAATTAATTAGAAAGTTTAGACATGTGCATTAAAATCTTAAGTATATGGAACAAAGTGGTGCTATTAAAATCAATCAGGTAAAGCAAATCCACATTTGAAAGTAGATTAGCAGGATATGATAAGTGAACATTATGTGGTACAGAATCTTCTGTTTTGTGACAAACGTTATAATTATCCAAAGAACAGAAAATTGAAGACTAATATCAAATACACAGTATATGTGTGGGTTAAGAAAAATTACTTGACACTGGTTAAATTTAACATCCTTATCTTTTAATGGGAATAATCATTCCTCTTCTTTGCTAATGTGTTTATGAATACAATGAGAAAATGAGAAAATAATGTTGTTGTGTAAGTATGGGATGGATTAGCTACAGTGACTTATAGTTTCAGCAACGTACTCAATAAATATGAGGCATAAGGCAAAAGCTGCAGCGGTTGTCTTTAGAATTCTGTGGTTCTCCTGTTATTGAATGTGGCCTCTCATAGGTTACCTGCTTGTAACTGAAGAACTGCCAAAAACTAGAAGGGACTTAAGGCAGCAGTGTTTGAATACACCGTTTGTTCATAACTGCATGTAAGCACCACCAGATGTGCTGATGTTCATATTCTGGAAAAGGAGCAAACAGACATGCTTACATATATTTTTAATTCTTTATCTGTTGATGGAAACATAGGTTGATTCCATCTGCAAATGTGTACAGCACAGTGACAGTGATTAGTAAATGCTCTATGGATATTTGAAAGTTGTGAAGAATAAGTCTCAAAAGTTATTACGACAAAAAACGGGGACGCAATGCTATCTTAGTTTCACTTAACCATCCTAGATAACGTATTTATAATTTAAAACTATGTAAGTTTCATGATGTTTGCAAATGAATATGTGCCACTTCTAAAAATACAAAAAAAAAAAGGATTTAACATCCGTTCTGCCAATTTACAAGCTCAAGTTTGAAGTTTGTGGTGGAAAGGGTTAAATGATCAAGTATATTTTACAATGGATGCTCGATTGATGTCAGCTTCCTTCTGTCATTACAGATGTTTACTGCATATCAATAGTGACACATCCATCAGAAATACTCTTTGGAATTTTCTTTAATGAGGGATGAATTCAATATAGATATAGTCATATAAAATACAAAGTTTCTCTGAAACCTTTGAGCAGGTTCAAGACCAAGCATAGTGTGATCTGGTTGATAAGTATGTGTTGTCAGTTGAGTGTTGATTTTTGTGGATCAAGGTCTATTGGAAGCCTGTGCCTGTTTTTAAATCAGGTTACTTTGATGTTTTCTACTGAGTTGCTTGTAATATTTTTAAAAAGCAAATACCTGCCTTATAGCAAAATTGTATGATATTTTCAAGAATTAACTGGCCTCCCCGCACCAGTGTTAAAAATAATAACACTTTTGTTTATTAACTTCTAACTTTTTAAATCAATGTATATAATACGGCTTTGCATAATGGCTTTGTATAATGGCAATAACATTTTATGGATTAATCTCTAGGACATCCAGTGGTGCAAAGACCTTTAGTAGCTGCAGTTTGAGTGACTTGAGAAGTTTCATTTCAAGTGAGGGTGCCAGATGTCTGCGGAATAAACCACAAATGCAGAGACACAGACCAAGGTGCGGCAATGGCAAAGTAGAGACCGGTGAAGTCTGTGATTGTGGGACTGAGCAAGTAAGTCTTAGAGCTAGGAACTCTCACGAATAAACACATGGTTTTAGTTCTCATTTGCATCAGTGTCTTGTACAAGTTTAAAATATACTCCAGAAAGATTGGTTATGGCACGCAAGAACTTTTTGAGGCTAGATTAAATGTGTAAGAATAAATCTTTCTAATCTATATCTGCTCCTAAAATATTCATACGTAATTTTTAAGAAGAGTGTGTCAGCTGCCCATCACTTGTCCTGAGGGCGTTACTTCACAGTGGTGCCAATGGCATGGATTGGGCATTTATATCAATACTGCAATCTGAATGTCAAGGGGTTTATCATAACACTTGCTAGGGAAGTCCTGACAGTACAATAAAAATGTGAATAGTCCCAGATACAATTCTTACCTATCATCCATTTAAACCATTTAAAAATCATCCACACTCAAAAGTGGCGGGGGGGGGGAGGTGGAGTGGGTTAAACATGTTTCCAGAGCTAATGAAAAATTTTGATTTATAAAATAGTTGATACAAAATGTTCTTGAGAGTGATATGAGTAGGGACAGATGACTGGTAAGGCATGCTGTATAATACTAATCAGATCTGTCTTCTTTGCTTTCGGTTTCATCAGAGCCAAACTCCTCAGTTGTCTGCAGGCATATATGTAATTTGTTGGTTAGCCGCCTTGGGCTATATTTCCTTTTCTTTTCACTGCACTTTTTGTGTGATGAATTTTCCTTCCCACTGTGCGGGAACAGGTTTAGCCAACAATCTCACCAACCTTTTCTTGGAATCTTCTTTCACTGCCCGTTTGGCAGAGCTATTCTTCCATAGTGATCCATTTGGTATCTGGAATTCCCAGCGATTCATACTGTGCATAGATCTCGTGGAGTATCCCTGTCTCTGGCCTCTACTCAAGAACGAGACACCTTTTCATAACCTTCTGATGGCAGGAGACTAACTGGATAGAAGGCTTGGCTTACTTTGGGAATGACCTTGAGTAAATATGAGAAGCGAGCCTGGTATTTAGTAAGATTCCCTCCTGCTTCCAATTGATGTAATCTCTGCAATCCTTTTATCTGATGTGGAATTTGAATGTCAAGATTGTTCTAAAGTGAACCTGGTGGTTTCCTCCACCAACACTGTAATAACAGTGACTGCTCTCAAAACCCCATGTTATCCAGCACACAGTGATTCCAGTTTCTCAACAAACTGGTCTATCATTATGAAAGTACACCTGGTTTCTGGGTACGTCACCCAGCGCTATGTATTACCAAGCCACAAATGGGATGGAGGGCTTATCAAAGGGAGCAGTGCAGGAATGCATGTTGGTATCCCATTGCTTGTTCTGCAACTCCAGTGTGTCAGGGTGAGAATGGCTTCATGCAGGCTTAAGCTGTCAATCTAAATCCTGGAAAACAGAACTTGAAAATGGCTCAAAACTTCCAGAGGTGTGCTTCGATATTTATTTTTTTCTGTGGTAGAACTGCCTGTAATAAAGTTACCTTATAATAAAAATATGAGGGAAACGTTTCTTTTGTCAGGACATACACCAAGCTTTTTCTTCTATTTGTAGATTTGTGCTTTTCATGAGGAAAAGCTTAACACCTTTACATTGAAGACCTGAGTGGTACTTTTATCCAAGTATTCCTTAGAGGTGTTTCAGATAAGGATATCATCTACAAATTGCAGAATGAATTTTGTATTTGGAGCTTTCTAATTTTATTTGAAAGGTTATTGCCTAATGCAATACAGAAGACGATATCTTTCAAGTTTAGGACTCTGAACTGGGTGATTCCTCAGGCATCTAAGCTAGGGTATTACAGTAATTTGGTACAGTAGAATGGAGTGGAGTACTGTGTCATTTATGACCCTTGTATCCATCAGCTATGGTATTTCACTTTTGAAAGTCGGCATAATGGGAGTATTAAACCGGAAATATCATAGTCTCAATCAAAAAGCATCAAACTTGGCTTCTTTAACTCAAGGGCCACCATCAATGATGAGGGAACATTCGTTTGCCTTTTTAAGAGAATGATGATAGAGACAGCATACACAGTCAGAAGGAGAAACAGAGAGATCTTCCATCCGCTGGTTCACTCCCCAAGTGGCCTAATGGCTGGAGCTGAACTGATCTGAAGACGCAGGTGCAGGGTCCCATGGCTTTGGGCCGTCCTCGACTGCTTTCCCAGGCCACAAGCTGGGAGCTGGGTGGGAAGTGGAGCAGTTGGGACATGAACCAGTATACATATGGGATCCTGATACTCACAATGTGAAATTTTAGCCACTGAGTCATTGTGTCCAGTCATACCCTTATGTTCTTGAACATTAAGTGATTTAATTTTCTACTTGAATATGAAGTGCATATATGTGCTTCTATTTATATTTGTCCACCTTGAGGTTAGATGAACATGGCGAGACTATAGGTTCTTAGTTTACTTCCAAATTTGGAGAAAATAGCAAATATTTCTTTGCATTAAATTCTCTACAAAACCATCCCCACCCCATTTTGAATCTGCACTTATACATACATCAGACTGCATAATATTGTCCCACAGTTCATGGCAGTTGTATTTTCGCGTGTTCTATGCCTTTATTTCTGCTTTAATAGTTTTCAATAAGTCTCTTCAGTTCTAACTTTTACCACAGGTCTAGGATATCTTTAACCCATGCAGTAAAGGGCTCAGGGGCTAAATCATCACATTGCAAGCACCAGGATTTCATGTGGGCACTGGTTTGTGTCCCAGATGCCCTGCTTCCCATCTAGCTTCCTGCTTGTGGCCTGGAAAAGCAGCAGAGGATGGCCCAAAGCCCTGAAACACTGCACCTGCATGAGAGACCTGGAGGAAACTCCTGGCTTCAGTTTAGCTCAAGCTGTTTCGGCTGCTTGGGGAGTGAACCAGCGGATGGAAGATCTTTCTGTGTCTCCTTCTCTCTGTAAATCTCACTTCCTGAGAAAAATAAATAAATCTTAAAAAATAAAAACATACATATAATGATGACCAGTTTGAGGAATTCTGACCTCTTCTTGTAGTGGCTCACTGTTTCACAATCATCCATCCCATGAATGCAGTGACTTGGGCGTCATCTGTCATTTCAAGGCAGTGAAACCATCACACTGCCTGGTGAAATACCTGTAAGGGGAAGCTAGCGACTGAGTGCTGATTACATTTGTTCCTTTTCCAGAGAGACTTGCCAGGTATCCAGTTTATGGGAAAAAAATACTCTGTGTGTGTGTGTGTGTGTGTGTGTGTGTGTGTGTGTTGTTTGTTTCCAGTTTTCTAGTTGGATGAGAAAGCAAGTGTAGGTGGTGGCGAGGGAGTTGACTTTAAGCCCACCAAGTGCAGTTGGTACTAAAGTTTACATGGTTGTAACAATGCCTTTTGTTTGTCCATTCTGCTCATGAATAGCAATGCGGACCTGACAGTTGTTGCAATCATCAAACTTGCAGACTGAAGGATGGATTGCAGTGTGAGTCAGGAGATTGCTGCTTCCAGTGCCATGTAAGATTTATATTTACTTATTAACACTTTCTAAATATGTAATAAGTTAGGTGTGGGATAATCTAGAACACTTGGACTTAGCTGTAATTAAAATCAGTTACTGTTTAAACAAGGAAATGACAATAAACAGAACTGGATTTCTGATTTTTTTGAATCTTTGCTGTTCAGGCCTTTTTTGTTTTCTTCCTTTTTTTTTTTTTTTAAAGATTTATGCATTTATTTGAAGGATTTTTTTCAAAGATAGAAGAGACAGACAAAGAAACAGATCTTCCTTCTGCTGGTTCAGTCCCCAGTGGCCACAGTTGCTTGCAGCTAAGCTGATCAGAGGCCAGGAACCAGGAGCTTCTTCGAGATCTCCCACGTGGGTGCAGGGGCTTAGGGGTCATCCTCCACGCAGCCTAATGGGGAGCTGGATTGGAGGTGGGGCAGCAGCGAGTATGAACAGTGCCGACATCACAGTTGGAAGGTTAGCCTTCTCTGCCACCCTGCTGGTCACTCAAGTCTATGCCATTTGTTGTATAATTTTGAGTTTAATAGGATTTGGAAACAGGGTAGATTACAGTGTGTTCACTCAAAAGTAGCGATTTTCTAGACGTAAATGTGGTCTTTCCTCTCTTTGTTCCTGTCTTTGCCATGACACGGTTTTGCAGGTGTTCTGCCTTCCACCTCCCCTTCTTACCTTCCTGTTTTGCTCTCCCTCGACTCTCCCGCGGTATTATCAGTGTAGAATAACCCTTTAGTAACAGTTGAAAGTTTAGATTTCTGTTATTTAAGTATATTTTGGCATTGTAGGTGTAGGCAAACGTAGGAAATCTACTATCCTACTTCCAATGTGTAATTCACTGTTTCCTTTGCAATGAAATAATCCCAAATGGAGACCATTGTTCTTAGTGAAATTAGCCAGTTTCAAAGGGACAAATATCATATGACTGGAGACAGTACATGCAAAATGCAAACTAAATAGTTGTGTATGTCATCAGGGAGATGCACATATTCTCATAGATGAGCTACGTAATGGACATGAACGTATCAGAAAGTGAAGTTACATTGCAGTACATGTCTCTGCTCTTGCGTAAAGGGAGGATTCCCCGTGATATCTCCTCGTGATTGAACATACAAATAACACAAGCTGTGATGTTGCATTTGTGCTATCCTGCCTTTTCATATGCCTTATCTCCTAATTTTTGTTGATAACAATTTAAACATGAATTTTCCGAACAGTTCCTAATACTAGTGAGTGAACAAGTCAAGATATAAAGGGCTGACATAGCTATTCAATAAATACTGGAAAGCACAACATCTTTGTCACACTGTATTTTGCATTTTAATGTGTTCTAGTTTAGGGGGGTTGATTACCTGTGCCGGCCTCAGGCACACCCTGAGTGTGATCTCCCCGAGTACTGCAGTGGAACAGCAGCAAACTGTCCACCCGACATAACTTTGCACAATGGAAATCCATGCCTAAATGGCAAGCGAATTTGTCACGGAGGAAGGTGCTACAACGGTGATGGACACTGTGAGTCAATATTTGGAGAAGGTAATACCTTTTGTTACATCTGTCTATCATTGAAAAATTAAAAGTTGTGATTCCTTAATATACAAAGGCATTGTGAAACACTCACCCCATTTAAGGAAATTTACCACCTTATGTGGTTTCCATTTTCTAAAAAAAACAAACAAACAAACCTCAAGACCTATCCACATAGCAAATTTCATGTGATGCTGTATGTATTGCGTGCTATAGTCACTTCTGTAGTAACTTTACACTTGTATAGTTAAACTTCTAATTGAATTAGTTTCATATCTTAAGTTCCTGATACTGTGTAAGAGTCTTGTTTTTGGCGTTTGGCAAGACATTAAGCTTATATGGACAATTCCTGTAAGTTAACGGGGGTTCATTAGCGTGATTTAGGTTGGGGATAGGGAGGGTTTGTTGATATAATCAGGGAATGTGGACATGAGTTACATGTACACATACAGGTGTACTCATACGTATGCGTATTATAAAGTAATTATGTCCTGTAACCATTGACTTAATGTCTAACTAGCTTAGGCGTGGTAAAGTTCAAGTGAATTTTGGTAGTGACAACTGTCATATCTTAGAGCACATGGAACGAATGTCCCGGCTCATCATTATGAGGGTGGAGGAGGTACATCGAGGCGCTCGGCTACAATTCTAGGTCTGATTTATGGCTCACCGTGGCCATGGTGAGTCTAAGCATACTCCAAAAAAATAAAAACACCAAGTGCCTGACACCACAGTTCTGTGTGAGCGTGGCCTGATGAGTCATTAGTCCATCAAGATGTCTTGTTGAAATCCCTTGAAATTACTCGTTTTGCTTCACTGAGTTTGTGAAGCTCTTGGGCAGCGTTTCCACTTGCACGAGTTCTTCAGTCTTTGGACGCTGCTGTCCTCCTCTCTGCTTTTGTGACTTGACAGTGTTAAGATTATATAGATGAATTTTCCTTCTGTATCCCCGGGGCTTAATTCACTTAGCAAAATGTCCTCCAATTTCATCCACGTTGTCAGAAACAAAGCAACATTCCCTTTTCTACTAAGGCTGGATAGTGTTTCACAGTGTGTGTGTGTGTATGTGTGTGTGTGTGTTCACATACGTGCGTGTAGGTGAAACTGGATATTACTTTTTTTTTTTTGCTCTCGTACCTGTTGGCAGAAATACAGATTGCTTCCAAACCTTGGATATTGCGAGTAATAAGACAGTGAATATGAGAACATGTATATCTCCTTCATACACTGATTTCATTTCCGCTGAACGTATACACACTGGACCCCAAACAGGCATTTTTTTTTCGAAAGATAAAATATGAATGGTCACCGGACACATTACAAATGACCATGATCACCAACCATCAGAGACATAGGACCAAAACCCACAATTAACCCACGATTAACTTCACCACAGTTAGAACGGCTAATATTCAGAAGTCAAAAAACAATAAATGCTACCTTGTCACACTATGGGCATATCAATTCATACAGTCTTTATGGAAGACAGGATGGAGATTCCTCTTAAAACTGAAAATATACCCAGCATATCAATCACTCATTCCACTCTTGGAAATTTAAGCAAACAGAATGAAATCAACATATGAAAGAGCCATTTGTGCTCCCATGTTGGCTGTAGCTCAGTTTACAAGAACCAACACAAGGAAACACCCAGATGCCCATCAATGATGACTAGTTAAAGAAAAGTTGGTACATACACACTATTCAGCCATAAAAAAATTGAAGTTCTAGGGACTAGTGATTAAAGTCCTTGCCTTGCACATGCCAAGACCCCTTATGGGTGCTGGTTCTAATGCCAGCAGCCCTATTTCCCATCCAGCTCCCTGCTTGTGTCCTGGAAAAGTGGTAGAGGATGGCCCAAAGCCTTGCGACCCTGCATGGGAGACCCGGAAGAAGCTCCTGGCTCCTGGCTTTGGATCAGCTCAGCTCTGGCTGCTTAGGAAATGAATCAATGGAGAGAAGATCTTTTTCTCTCTCCTCCTCTCTGTGTGTATGACTTTCTAATAAAAATAAATCTTTGAAAAATAAAGTTCTATATTATGCAGCAAAATGAGTGCAAGCATGAACCATTAAGCTTAATGAAATCAGCCAGTCTCAAAAAAATATATAGTGTGTTTTCTCTGCTCTTTGGCAATTAATCTAAAATACCAAAGAAAGTATAAAAATTAAAAAAAATCCTATGATTGATTGTTTTTGGTAACCCTTGTTATATCCCCATGGAACTGTTGTATTTTTACCTTCTACTTGTTAAATATTATGGTTAGTGGCACATTAAGCCTGTGATTATGGAGTGGATTGAGATAAGATTTTTCAAAACTTAAAAGGGAAAGATGCATAAAGATGGAAAGGAGTGGACTGAGTGAAGAAAGTACTTCTATCTCATCATTGTATTATGAAGTACAGGAAATCTCTCCTCTTTATAGTAATAGAAGCTTTAAAATCACTTTTTTAAATAAGAAATGATGAAATAGGGGCTTAATTATGTAGATCTTCTTACTACATTTCTTAATAAAATATATAGGGTAATATAATGACAAGGGAATAAGAAATTGAAAATTCCCTACCATTTGTTATTTTCTCTGAATATTCAGAAAGAGTGTTTAGTTAATTTTTGTGCTCAAATGCCAATACTTAAATTTTCATTTCTTGGTGGCATTAATTTCCAGGCGGTTTATTTATCAGTTTGGCAGATACAATGAAGACAACGACTATGGTTAACTGAATATAGCTGTTGAACATTTTCTGAAGAATTTATTTGTAAAGTAGAGGTACATAGAGAGAGAGGGAGAGACAGAGACCTCTTTCATCTGCTGGTTCATTCTTCAGATGGCTGCAGTAGCCAGAACTGGGCCAGTTCAAAGCCAGAAGCCGGGTTTGTTTGGGTCCCCCACGTGCGTGCAGGAGCTCAAGGACATTTTCCCTGCTCCACAGCTTTCCTAGGAACATCAGCAGGGAGCAGGATCAGAAGTGGAGCCTCCAGGACTCCAATTGGAGCTCATATAACATCAGCACCACAATAGGCAGCTTTCCCACCAAGCTACAGTGCTGGTGGTCCCAGCTGTAAATTTATCTGAGGTTAACATGTTGGTTTTACAACTCGCTGAGATGGTTCTGTGGTAGAGCCGCATAACAATGGGGCCATGATTAATATCAGGAATGTGTAGTGGGAAATACAGCTGGCTAAACAACTGAATGTAGTGTGAGTGATCTCATGACGGTAATGATTTGCTTCTAATGAGTCTGTGGGTTAGTCTGTGTTACCAGCTGATTCCATGGGATTCTAGATCATAGGGCTTAAGCAGTGGATGGGTAGGTGGGGCTAGCTCCTTTAATGCCCATTGTTTTCCTATCTACTCTGGTTTGGTGTGAACCTCCATATGGATCAACCCAGTTTTCCTAATTCTAGCAAATTTGGGGATTTGGTGCATTATCTTTCGCATGGACGTAAATTTCAGAACTATTTTTGTGTACTATAGTTGTATCCCTTTTTTTATGGATACTAATGCAATAGCTTAAAATATAGAATTTATTTCTTTCTGGTAACATTCAATGCTAATTTAGTGGTCAAATATGGCTTGGGAGCTTTGCTGTATAGTATTTTTCAAGAAGTTATTGCATCTTTCCCCCACCCTGGTATCATTGGTCGATGGTTTCTATATACCAGCCCATTTAGTGGAGGAAAAGAAATGAAAATGCATATGTATAAATGGCTTCCACTTATGTCATACATGGATATTTCTCATATAATAACTTCATATTCTTCTAATCAGAACTTAGCCACATAAGCATATCTAATTACCAGAGAGTTTAAGATTTTTTTTTTTCAAATTTGATCTGTGTGTTTTGCTAGTCATAGAGTTGTGTCATTTAAAACCCTTAAAAGTAAAGCCTAATGACTGTCAAATACTTGGACACAAGTGCCAAGTTCTACTCTGTGTACTTTCTCTCTAACTCAAAGCTAGCGAAAGTCCTGGTTATAGTATCAAGAAACTTTTTCCGGTAGTCCTAATTCTGTGAAGTAGCAAGGCATGTTTTGAGATGGCAAAGAACAGTGCTGATCATTATATGATATAGATATAAGACAAGGTTCAGCCACTTACGTTGTGGCATCGCCAAGAGTGCTGCCGAGACACTGGTGTCGTGTTCTGGCTGCTCCACTTCAGTTCAGCTCCTTGCTGATGGCCTGGGAATGCAGGCCAGGCCCAACAAGCTGGAATTCCTCACCTGCATTCCAAGACCATTAGCGGATAGAATGTCTTGTGCACAAGATTGTGAGACGAAACACTAGGGACATTTTTCTTGTGGCTCTATAAATATTTTTCAAAGATATAAATAAACAAGGAGAAGTTTATTTGTAGAATCCGAGGGCCCCTGAGCTATCCAATGCTCTTCGATATCTAGTATAGTATAAGATCAACAGAAACAATCTTTAAATAGACACTTTCTACTAATTCCAGAATTCACCAAGAAATATGAAAATAAAAAATATGATTTCTTGTTTGCATTTTTGCTTACATTTTAATTTTACTTTTCTATTTTATTGGGCACCAATTTTTTCTTGTGATCAAAACCATACTAAAAACTCTAGATCCTTAAATATGTGACAGTTTCAAACCATTGGAGGGAAAATTCTCTCAATCAACTGCTAAATAACTCCACAAGAGAATCCAACCCTCTTCAAATCCCTTAGTGTGAACATGACACTTTACTTTATGATTTAGCAACTATTGTAAAATTGAAAAGTACTGAAACTTGATCTTGTCTGAGTAACTGCTTACCACAGGCTAACCGCACTGGGTAAATATGATGATTCTTACACTAACTTGTGTGGATAAAGAAGCAATTCTTAGAAAGTTAAGTATACAATTCCAGTTGAGACATATACAAATTTCTGCTAAATCGATACTTTTAAGAATTGTGTAATTTATTTGGAGGTCACACAGAGAGAGATGGAGGGAGGCAGAAAGGAATCAGGGGGAGGCAGGAACTTCTCTTTTTTCTGTAGCTCTACCTTTCAGATAAGTAAGATTTGATCAGCTCTGACCATTGTTGCCATTTGGAGAGTGTACCAGCAGGGAGTAGTAGGTCTCTCTCTCTCTCTCTCTCTCTCTCTCTCTTTCTCTCTCTCTGTAATTCTGCCTTTTAGATAAATAAAGTTTGATTTTAGGAGCTAGAGAAGAGAGATTAGTAAATGACTTGCTCAGTGTTGACTTGTGCTTACAGTCTTTTGAAGTATCTAGTTACTATGTACTTTTATCCATAAAGCAATTATGTTTGAAGATTCTGCTCCTGAGATGATCCTCTGCTAAGAAAAATCTAAAAATGATTCCTGAAATTTATTTAGCGTATAAACACCATTGGTTGAACCCTTCATTTGGATTTGGTGTAGAAAAAGCAAACATATGATAGAATGTCATCCTATTACCTTTTACAGAGCTCTCTCTTAGTGTACATTCATAGAGCCCTTTCCTCCCCATATGATCTTTGGTGATGTAAATGAGTGTGAAGAAAAAAGAGCATTAACCAAGAACAGTGCCTTTTGTGTTATATACTAGCAGAGAAACAGATAAAGGAAATATAGAACAAGTTGGATCAAAGAAATGGGCTAGTGTCCTGCAACACAGTGAAGTAAGTGACTGTAGGTCCAATACCTTCTTGTATCTTTTGTGTGACAATAGAAAAATGAAGTCTTACACTCCACTCATAAAATAATGTTGAAGAAGTGGACATGATTCCCCTGTCTCAATCATACGTGTAAATGCATGCTATTGACATATCATTAATGTCACAGCCCATAAATATGTATGATTTTTATAAAGCTATTTTATAAAGTAAGATGTTATATGAGTAAAATGATGAAGATGAAAAACAAATAGATGTTTAAATACAAGTATGTATTTTTAAACTTTGACAGGTTCAAAAACTGCTCCATTTGCCTGCTATGATGAAATACATTCCCACACTGATAGATTCGGCCACTGTGGTAAAGAGAGGAACAACGCCTTAAGAGCCTGTAATTGGAGGTGTGCTATACAAATATGAATAGTACACCCCTTGTTCTCTGTGTTCACTTGGGGGTTGGGTATTCTGTCCCTTATTTCAGTGAATGTCATTCATTGCAGTGGTTTTGAAGATGAACCTATGCATAAAAGTGAATCTCAAATCCAAATTTCAATCTCCAACATCTTTCTTGGGCTACAGGCTGTAAAATTTCACCGTATTTTAAAGTATAATGATTATGGTTCTATATATCAATTACAAAACTGAGACATAATCCTCCCAGTTGGAATTTCTAAGGCTGTTCCCTCCTGGTGTGTGGAAAAGCGGGATGTACTTAAAAGAGGAATCTCTCTTAAAGAGAAAGAAAGAGCTGCCCCCTCTGGAACTGGGGCAATTGTTTCACAGGCTAAAGGATGGCACTTTAGCAATCAAATGAACTTGAATTTTGGTTGAGTCTGGGTACTGCTAGCTCCATGTGGGCTAGAGCATACACATTGTCATCATGGCATCTTCTGTTTGCTGGGGAGTGAGGTGGAGATGCAAGAGCAGGAGTAGGGTGTGTGGAGCCTGCATGGATGGGGTGTCAGGTCTGGGTGATGAAGACCAGGGTACCTCTCAGATCCTCTTTGCTCACTAGCTCCCCACCTGCCAAAATCAATGGTAGCTTTCCTTCCCATGCTCATTCAGTTCTCTTTTTGAATGTCCCCACTTACCTCGTTGCTTGTCCAAAGTGAAGTGGTTGCTTGTCCTGATGTTACTGGAGACTTTTATGCTTAGTGAAGTGAGACATATCCCAAAATGTACCATATGTATTAGCTACGAATCAAAGAACACAGATAATATTTACATTTTGGGGTATGTCTCACTTCACTAAGCATATACAATTTGTTTCAGAAGATAGCAATTCATTCCTTTTTACTGACTGAATAGCAGTCTCTCTCTCTCTCTCTCTCTCTCACACACACACACACTCACACACATTATATCTTCTTTATCCAGTCATCAGTTAATACATATTTGCATAGACTCCATATCTAGCTATTGTGGATTGAGGTACTGAAAACATGAGAGCACAGAGAGCTTTGTTATATACCAATTTCACTGATAAATTTCATTTGGGTAAATTCTCAGGAGTGGGATGGCTCCATTAGATAATAGATCAATTTTCAGATCTTTGAGAAAATGCCGCTGTCTTCCCCAACAGTTGTGCACCTGAAAAACGTATTGAAATTACTAATACTTTGGGAACACAGATAAAGGGTTTTATGTATTTTTCCCTTTGAGTCCTAGTTCCAAATTTTGCATTTTCCCTAAGTGAATTAATTGAGAGTGATTTTCTGTAAGCAAAGGAATCAATTATAAGTCATTCCTAGCAAATGATCAATCAATGTACATATCTGTATTTGTTTTATTTGCAGGAATGCCATGTGCGGACGACTAGTTTGTACTTACCCTTCTAAAACTCCTTTTTATCTAGAAAATGCTTCTGTGATTTATGCTTTTGTAGGAGATGACGTATGTGTCACTATAGACTACAGTGCTCTTGGCTTACCTTCAGATCCACTGCAGATCAGAAATGGCTTTATATGTGATGACCAGCGGGTAAACGATTTAAAGTACATCTTAAAGTATCTACTTTTACTTGTGCCTTAGTAACTATTTTCATTTATGCACCAAATTTAAATTCATTTCTGGTGTCCTGTAACCTTACATGGCGCATCTGCTCTCTAGATGGCAACTTAAAGGTTTTCATTTTGTCCTCCAAGGACAAGCTGAACAGAAAGAGGATACTGGGAATGTATTACAAAATTTTGATAAAATTAAGGAAACGCCAACCTTTTTGGGTACAAAACAGGGAGAGAAGAGGTGTTGAAGTACTATGAGGTTAAGAACTTCATAGCATAGAGAGTCCTTGTTTTTCTCAGAGAAGGAAGGAATCCTTCTTAGTATTCTATGACTATGTCCATCATAAGAGCCAATCTTTTATGAGGCTACTTAGTATCAAAGTGGACGATAATAGCATTTACTCTGGAGCACACAGTCAGTGCTAAGTACGCTGCAGCTCTTATCATTTCTACTATAATTTTGATATCTCTGAAACCAGTTGAAATCTGGAAAAAAATTGGAATAAATAAAGCTCATTCCTAGTTTATTCCACAAACTCAGCAACTCATTCCACATTTTCCGTATGGGTGGCAGAGTCCTAGTTCATTTGAAGAAACACCTGCTGCCTCCCAGGGTGTATACTAGCAAGAAGCAGGAGTCAAGACTGAAGCTGGGACTCAAACCAAAGCATTCTTTTCTTCTTTTTTTTTTTTTTAAAGATTTATTTATTTTTATTGGACAGTCAAGTTTATAGCAAGGAGGAGAGACATGAAGATCTTCCATCTGCTGATTCACCCCCCCAATGAACTCCCTCAATGGCTGGAGTCAGGAACCTTTTCTGGGTCTCCCACACAAGTGCAGGGTCCTCAGGCTTTGGGCTGTCCTCCATTGCTTTCCCAGGCCACAGACAGAGAGATTGGCGGGAAGTGGGGCCGTGGTATTAGGACCAGCACCAGTATGACATCCTGGCTTGTATAAGGCAAGGACTTCAGGCTCTAGGCTATTGTGCCAAACCAAAGCATTCTTAACCACTGTATTAAATGCCATTTCTGCTTACCATACCTTTAAAGTTAAAAGAATTATGTCAATATGGTAGGTTTCATAATAAACAAACAGTATCTCAGATTTTAATTTTTAGTTCTTATTTTTTAAATTTGATTTGGAATGGGGAGAGAGAGGGAAAGAGAGAGGAAGAAAGACCTTTTCCACCCTCCAGTTCATTCTCAAAATTCATAAAAGAGCTAGGGCTGGGCCAGGTCAAAGCCGGAAACCTGGAACTCAGTGTGGAGCTCTGACATAAGTGAGAGGGCTCCAAGGACTACACAGGATAAGCATCAGTAATAAGGTAAATCAAGTGGATAGCTGTGGTTTGATTCAGGTTCTCTCACATGGAATATGTCTTCCAAAATGGACATTTAAACACTAACTAAGCCCCTTTATGTTGTAATAAAAAAATATGTGCCATGATTGTGTTAAAATGATTATCTTTTTGTCTTTGGTGCAGTAGCCTAGTGGCTCTCTGTATATCTGCCTTTCCAATAAAATCAATAAATATTTTTTAAAAATAAAATGCTCATCTTTTAGTGCACAATTTTTGTCAGGACAGTGAATGCATTTTTTGAAACCGTGTGTTGAGGAGCAGTTTTTAGGTTTCATGGTATTGTAAGGAAAAGTGGTTTTACTTTCTCCACTAGCTACCCTGACCACGTCTAAACATAATATTGTTCAATTGCAGATTCATAGCCAAATTTAGTGACAATACAATGTTTCCATATACTCCTTGTCAGACATACTCCCTGAAACCTCTCCCGCTGCAACCCACAATCTGTGACAAAGTGGTCCATTTTTCCAGTGGGAATACCTACATTAATTCATCTTTATCAGTGATGCTCCATAGGTTAGGGTCATCTGGAAAATCCTGAAAAACTTGGACACTTAAAAAGCACATTTTTTTTTAAAGATTTGTTTTTATTATTTATTTATTGGAAAGGCGGATATACAGAGAGGAGAGACAGAGAGGAAGATCTTCCGTCTGATGATTCACTCCCCAAGTGAGCACAACGGCCGATGCTATGCCAATCCGAAGCCAGGAGCCTCTTCCGTGTCTCCCACGCGGGTGCAGGATCCCAAAGCTTTGGGCCATCCTCTACTGCTTTCCCAGGCCACAGGCAGGGAGCTGGAAGGGAAATGGGGCTGCCGGGATAGAACTGGCGCCCATATGGGATCCCGGTGTGCAAGGCGAGGACCTTAACCACTGCGCCACTGCGCCGAGCCCTAAAAAAAGCACATTTTAAAATAACATATTGGCCAAGAAGGAAATTTTAACATATCTTTAATTAAAGTGTTATTTTTTAAAGTTTATTACGTCAAACAAAAGTAGTAATTTTAACAAAATTGATCACATTAAGTGTTTACTATTTTAGATTATACAATAATTTTTGTTATTTTGACAGAATTTTTAATTGGAATTTTTGTTTCCATTAGATTTGTGTAAACCAAATATGTGTAGAACTAAGACCTGTGAAGAATGCATCGCAACATTGTGCACGAAAGTGCCATGGACACGGAGTAAGTAAGCACATGTTCACCCCATCTCTCTTGGACACTGATTACTGAGGAGTTTATTCGCATTCATTGGATAACAATGTGTGCTGGACCATAGCTTAAATGTATGGCAACCATATGTACTTCTGCAGAACACCCTGAGTAGATTTAAAATGCTAGTGACTTAAAAAAAATATTATAGGTGTGTGGCTTCCTAAAGGTATGAAATATGGCAATAATACATAGTTCTACTCACAAATGGGATAAAAACTAATCTATGATATCTGTATCTGCAAGCACATGGGTGTCAAGAAAAGCCATTGATTTTTATGTTTGTTTTTAAATAGACTATTTTTTGATCAAATGTAGGCACTAATATTTGAGTGCAAAGCACAGAGCTTTTCGTAGAACCTCTTACTCTATATATGCGCAATCTCTCTCAATCTTAGTACCACACATGGAAGTGTTATCATTTGTTATAGCTGATCATCCTAACGGAAACGTTGTAGTACCCAAAGTCAGTAGTTTATATTGGGTTCAATATTGATGTTGTATATTGTATGGGTTTTGGTAAATATACAGTGCACCATACCTACCTTCACTGCATGGAAAATATTTCACTCCCCTAAAAGCCTATTGGTTGCTTGTTCAGAACCCTTTTTCCTTTAACTCCCGGCAACCATCAAACTTTTTACTGTCTGTTTAGTTTTTGGCATTTTAAGAATGTCATTTTGAAACCACACAGTGTACACTCACATGTGAGTTAGCTCTTATTTTATTGCTTGAATTTTTATTAATATTTTCAATAGACAAATTTATACACTGATAGGGAGATATCATGTATACTTACGGTGAGATCTGAAGTTTAGTTTTGTAAGCTATTTGAAATTTACATTATTATATGCAATTTATCATAGTATTACAACATATAGTATACAGTATTTTTCATCGCTGTGGTATATTATAACTGATCACTGGAACATTATGAAATATACGTTATTATGACTATAGTCACTTTGTTGTGCGATACATCTAACACTTGTTCTCTGGTCTAAGTAAAACTTTGTACCCTTTAGCTGACAATTTTCCATCTTCTGTCTACCCCACCTTCTTCCCTCTGGTAACCACCATTGTACTCTGATGCATTCAATTTGTTTTTCTTTTTTTAATGCATTTTTTCTTATATTTAAAAGGCAGAGTTGTAGAGAGAGACACACACATAGAGATCTCCCATTTGTAGTTTCACTCCCCAAAGGGCTGCAATGGCCAGAGCTGAGCTGATCTGAGGTTGGGAGCCAGGAACTTCCTCTAGGTGTCCTATCTGAGTGCAAGGTCCCAAGGGCTTGAGGCATCTTCTACTGTTATTGCAATGCTCAAACAGGGAGCTGGACTAGAAATGGAGCAGTGGAGACCTGTTGTGGTGGAATGCTCCAGGTACATTCAGTGGGAAGAGGAAATGCTTTAGCCAGCTGGTGAGTTCATATTCCCAAGTTTTTACTATGCCAGGGTGAACCTTTTTTGCAAGAAGTGCTTATTCTCTGTATTTTTAAGTGTAAACTGATATTTAGAAATCAAGAGCTAGATTGTGGGCTTTTGGCACAGAAGTTAAGCTGTTACTTAAGATGCCAGTATCCCATATCAGGGTTACTAGGTTAGAATTCCCATCGAACTCTCCAGTCTAGCATCTAACCAAGACATGTCCGGGGATTTAGCAAATGATGGACCCAGCACTTGAGTTCTGGGCTCCTCATGTTGACCAGGTCCAGTGTCATTTATTGTAGACATTTCAGTTCTTTCCCAACACTCAAAGAAATAAAAATAAGAGCTTTTTACAAAATGGAAAGATGGTGATAAAAATAATCATCAGTAATTGTGTGTTATAAACTCTTAACAAAAATGAACTTTGCAAAGTTATGCCATGCACATGGGAATGCATTATGTACGCCTACGGATACATGCAATGAAAATTGGGCCAGATCCAAGACTCTATCATAACCTTTTGTTTTTCCATCCTTAAAACCTGTCTCCTGCATTGAAAAAAAATGTCCTTATAAAGCTTTTATTTTCTCACGTTTATAATATAGTACTTCCAGGTATTTGGGGTAATATGCTGTGGGAATGATGGTCCAAGGGTACTACTAACTTGTGTATTTGGTTGATCTTCCCACATGGCTTGGGTGCTCTTGGTTAGCTCTTACAAACTCATTCATAGGAGTCATTGCGCAAACGGAAGAGACACCATAAGATTTCCCTCTGTCCTGTACTTGAGTTTACTCTCTAGCACTATAATGCAGTGTGTTCATTCAGTTTCTACGCAGGACACTGTTGATTACTTATTGATTGTCTCTTGTAAGTTTGTTATCTCTTCCTCTCATGATTTACCTGGTGTTTTGGGAGCTTTCTGTAATGACTGTCTTCTCTTTCTCCTTTGTGTATCCTGTTAATTTTTACTATAGTTTGCATTCATGGTTGCCAAAAAGCCCACAATCCAGATCTTGATTTCCCAATAACACTTTTCATATAAGAGAGAGGGCTTCTTGCAGAAACAAACAAACAAAAAAAAAAAACAAGAAAGAAAAGAAAGAAAGAAAAGGAAAAGCCTGGTTCAAGAACTTGGTCAAGCATAGTAGTAGATTGTGAACATTTGTTTCACCAGAGAGTATGACTATGTTCAAAGAATGTCCTACTGGGCCAGGGTGTAGTACAGATTCTTGAGCCCCTGTACCCATGTGGGAGACTGAGAAGAAGCTCCAGGCTCCCAGCTTACAACTGGCTCAGCAATATCCAATGTTGTATTGTGACTATCTAACAAGAATTATAGGTAAGGCTATAAGCTTCATCATCAAGAAACCGACACAGACTCACTGAATGTGACATGAGAACTGTCCATGGTTGGCCCTGCGAGCTGGTGCAGCTGTCTCCAGCACACATCACAGAAGGAATCACATTTCCAGGTGGATTTTGGTTTTATGCGTTTTGGAAAGTGTGCAAGAAATTTGTAGCAGTCATTGGGAAGTGTTACATTTGTTAATCCACATATTGTGAACCTCAGCTGTTAGATTCTTTTATTCCCTTTGTGTCTTTTTAAAGTGTATTCTACTTTAAGAACCAAGCACTGAGTTTGTAGATTGTTACATAATCTACATAAACAAAGTCAACACTAGGTTGAGACACAAAGGGAATTGAGATGATCCATTACAATTTCAGTTTCTGTGTAAAAACCACCTTACTAATTAAAGTTGTAACATTATCCTAGGTGTGCACTTCTCTGAATCAATGTCATTGTTCTGAAGGCTACCTACCTCCCAACTGTGAAAGGCGTGCAAGAGGGTTGCCTGCACTTTTTGAGAGAAAGGGCAAGTACATATCTCTTTGGATAGTCATTAAATGAAATTCTGAACTGTCTTATCTTTGCTAAAACACAGGTTTGGACATCAAGAGACCAATATTTCTAGTCAAAAGAAAACCAAATATATTTCCTTAATCTTGCTCGCTTGCGAAATTAAATTCTGTGTATGAAGCTGAATTCTTTCAAGATTTCTCTCTGCTAATATTATTGGCATGCTCTTTTGGAATATTTTCAACTTCTCCCATCCACTTTTATAAATTGTTCCTGAATTCTTTCTTTGTGTCTAGTGCTATTGCTAAGTTTACAGTTTAAATGGGATGACTCCATGAATTACTGCCTAAAAGATGACACAAATGGTGCCAGGGTATTGTCCTGTCTATGATGGTTTTGGCTTCTTTCATCATTCATGCATTAAGTTAGCAAATATTTGCCAAACCAGCTGCTGATTTAGGCACTGGGGATACAGAGAAAACAAATGAAACTCACCGAGCTTAGAGCAAATGTAGGTCTCTAAACTTACTATTGAAAAGTGACACAATTAGGTTCAGAAATTAGGGTTTTTGACTGTTATGCCAATTCCCTTTCAGTAACACTGAAGTGGCTTCCTAAGTAAAAAAGAATACCCTAGTGTCAGAAACCAACAATATTTTGAGGAAAAAGCAGAATATAAAAATATTGTAAATTTTTCTTGATCTAATTCTTTTTAAAACTGAAATAATGCAAATTTAGATTACCTTGCAATTATACAGTCTTGCATTATATTTCATTGTTTTTTGCCCCATATTCTGTTGCGATGAGATTCTGTTATTGAAATTCTGGAGCTTGGCTTTCATGTTAATAAAATTAAAAGTTATAGAGTTAGTTTTAAGCATTATGATTCTAAATTTATTGTTCTGTGTATTTGAATAGCAGTTAGAAACATTGTAATTTATTTCAACTTGAAATAAAGTTGAGAATCAAGATGGTGCAACAGGGTAAGGACACGTTTAAATGGATGGAGAAACATTTAACCAGGATGAAGCAGAGAGGACACATTGCAGGAAATAGAAGAGGACAGAACAACAGCAGATGAGTACGTGGAGACTGACAGACACAGGAAAGCAGCAGACACAACGGTGTGGTGTTGCAGTGACTGATACTCCAGCAGCATTCAGCTAACGGTGATCTGAACTCCACCAGCAAACGAAACTCCACCAGCAACCAGGTGGGAAGGGACTTTCACTGGGAGCTTGGGAGGTGAACCCAGACAAAGAACCGTCCATCCTGCTGGTCCGTTTGACTTGACCAGGAGCAGAGACAGAGCAGCAGATCCCAGACATGCAGTGCGAGAACAACATGGATTTCACAGCCCCCAACAAGCTGAATTGGATGCCATGCTGCTTAAGGAGGCAAAGGCAAGGGAAAGGACTGAGCATACGCTGAGCTGGGAGGGAACTCAGTTCTGACTCAGTGAACTACATCAGTGTGGCATTCTACAGGTTCCACCCGGGGCAGGTCTGGGTAGCACTCAGACCTGATGGCAAGCAGATCAAGAACTCTAGTAGTGGTTTGTCAGGCACCATTTTGTACACTGTGGCAAACGCTTTAGGACTGCAGGGGACAACAGTGAACTGCACATGTGCTGAGCTCGTGAGAACTCACTGAGTTCCTTGGATTGCACGGGTCCCGCAGGAAAATAATACTGACTGTAGGCTAGCACATGTCAAAATAGGTCCGTGTTGCACCCAAACCTAACCTCCAACAGGTTCCGGCAAGATCAGTGCCACCAACAACCTAGCTATATAGGACACCTGATGTCTCCCTAATCCTGGGACCTGCTCCAACCGAAAGTGGGAGAAAGGTTGCAGAGCCAACAATGCAACCTCAGCATGGCATCACAGGAGGTGGAGAGTGGTGAGCCAGTTCTTGGGTCTATGGAGTTCTTGGTAGAAATCTAACATAAGAACCCAGACCTAGAACTTGCTGGAGGGAGTGGCAGAATTGGCTACAAGCAAAGAGTTGTGCACCAACTGCAAGAAGTAAAATTGAACTGTAGACCTGTGGGTGACAGAGCTTAGAAACCTGCCCCAAGGAGAAGACTCTGTTAGCCAGAAGTACAATGATGAAGAGCAAAAGAAGAGACAAAGGCACAATGAATATTACTGAAAACTCCCCTGCAAAAGCACAAAAGCCTTTGCTAACCTCAGAGTTAACTGAGGAAGACATCAAGAAAATGGGGGACACAGAATTCAGAAAACTCATTTTAAAGCTTCTGATCAACAATGAGAAGCACATACAAGAGTTTAAAGAATTTAAGGAAGCAATGTATCAAACCAAGGCTGATATATCAGAAGTTAAGAACACAGTAGAGCAAATTAAAAGTTCAGTGGAGAGTCTCCAAAGTAGAATGAAGCAAGCAGAACAAAGAATCTCAGAATTGGAAGATACTTCCTGTCATCAGGGAGAAGCAAACAAAAGCTGGAAGCAGAGCTGGATGAGGCCAAAAGTATTCAAGAATTGAAAGACACTATGAAGAGGTCAAATATAAGAGTTATGGGAGTCCCGGAAGGTGCAGAAAGAGAAGCTGAGTTTGCAAGTGTATTTAATGAAATAATAAAGGAAAATTTCCCTAATCTAAAGAAAGAATTGGGAAACAAGATCCAGGAGGGGCACAGAACTCCCAACAGGGTTAACAAAAGCGATCTTCACCAAGACACATGATCATCAAGCTCGCTTCAATCTAACATAAGGAAAAGATCCTTAAATGTGCACATGAAAACATCAATTGACATATAAAGGAATGCCAATTAAGCTAACAGGAGATCTCTCACATAAACTCTACAGGCAAGAAGAGAATGGTGTGACATATTCCAGATTCTAAAAGAAAAAAAAAATTGTTGTCCTAGGATGAGATATCCAGCAAAACTTTCTTTTTTTTCTTTGAAAATGAAATAAAATTGTCCACAGTAAAGAAAAGTTAAAAGAATTTGCCTCTTTCAAACCTGCCCTACAAATGATACTTCAAGATGTTCTCTTGACAGAGAAGAAGAATAGCACACACCAAAACCAAAGGCAAACAGGAAGAACATTCCAGTAAAATGACAACAGAAGACTAAACCAATGAACAACCCACTCCTAAAATGACAGGACCAAAGTACCATCCATACATATTAACCCTGAATGTAAATGGCTTAAGCTCAAATAAACATCATAGATTAGCAGACTGGATTAAAAAGCAAAACCCATCTATTTGTTGTCTAGAAGAGACACATTTCACCAACAAAAATCAGCGAAAACTATATTACATGATTTTTGTTGTTTTCCGTTGGTTTCATCTCTTCAAAACACTTTCTTCTGATTAAATCATTCAGTGATTCGTAGATCATACAGTAGCATCATTTTCTTCAAGAATGTTCTTGATTTTCATTTCTTCAGCTACATGTTAGTCATTTAGTAGCATGTTATTTAACTTCTTGGTGTTGTTAGCTTCTTCCTGTTTTTGATTTTGTTTGTGGCTCTTCATTTAAGGGCATGTATAGTAGCTGTGTAATGGAGACTGTCATATCTAGCAGCATGTTATATAACTTCATGGCATTGTAAATTTCTATTTTTCTTTCTATTGTTGATTTTGTATCATGACTTTCCATTTAAGGGAATGTATAATAGCTGTGAAATGGAGACTAACATCCAGATGTGAGGATACAATGTAGTATGCATTTCTACTTCCAGACAAAGATGGACTTACAATGAAACTATTCACTATATCTTGGCAATAGGATTCTGGACTCTGCCATTGTCCATGCCTGCAATGATGAACATATGACTGTGTATGAGGAACTATACTGTGTTAATGATATAGAGGAACTAGCCAGGGGTGGGGGGAGGGATTGGGGCTGGGATAAGGGAAATCGCATGATCTATGGAACTGTATCATAAAATGATAATAATAGTAATAAAATGTGAAAAAAAGGAAATTCGCTAACAGAGCAGACACAATCAGTAACCAACCAACATAATGACTGGCTCAACGATCAGTATTAACCTCTGATGCGAGTAGATTAAACTTCTCCGTTAAAAGATATACACTGGCTGAATGAATTTTAAAACAACAAGATCCTGGATCTGCATTGTCATCTCGATAAGCTAGTTCAAGTCTCTGTTGTTCCATTTCAGAAACAACACCCAAATTATGTGGCAGAGAAAGCAAGAGAAGGTGACCTAGGTTCGTAAGTCCTTGACAGCAGCATGGGTCACAGAGCTGCAAGCAACTGGCTTCACCCTTACTCAGCCTCTGCCGACGTGGTCATTTTGGGAGTGAATTAGTCCATTTCTCTCTCTCTCTCTAGTCTTGCTTTCAATAAATCCAACTATATACTACCTATATGAAGTTTACTTCACTGGTCAAATTCCACACAGACTATAAGACTAGCTGGAAAAAATGTATTTATATACAAATGGAAACCAGAAATAAGCTGGTATAGTTATAACGTTAAAAAAAAGTTAAATTGGAGACCCAAAAGAAGCAAAGGAGAATTGCTGACATTTGCAGCAAAAGGGATGGAACTCGAATACATCACATTGTGTGAAATAAGCCAGATACATAAAGGATCCATAGCCGACGTTCTTGCACCTAGGCAGAAGGTAAAACCAAAGGAAGACTACAGAGCGGCTTCCACATAAACACAGGATGTTTATGAATAGAGACTGGGAGAGGACAGGCAGAGCTCTGATTTTAAAAAGCTGGAGGAATTTACATGGTTTCTGGGTAACAGACAATGCAAGATGTTAATGATAGGGAGTAGAATACATGGGAACTTTTTTGACTCGTGAATATAAAGCTGCTCTGAAATTAAAAGTTGGGAAAAAATAAAGTTGCACACTTAATTTTTAAAGTTAATTTATTATTTCTTTTCAGGTTTGAACAAGAAAAAGATTTTTAAAAAGGCTGCACAACATTGGCTTCTAGGTTTCTTCATTGGTTTTCCTATCCTCATCATAGCCATTACAATATTTGTGATATGGAATGGTTTAAAAAACCGATTCACCAAAGAAGAGGAATCTGCAAGTAACACGTAAATTGAATTTGTGCTCTGAGTTACACTTCAGTTTTGTCTCGATCTAGACAAGTTTAAGGCACTATCTAGAAGAGCAATACAAGGCTGGCATCATGGCCTATCAGCTTAGAATGAATCTGGCATCCCATATGGGCACTGGTTCTAGTTATGGCTGCTTCACTTCCAATGAAGCTCATTGCTAATCCTGGAGTAACCTACTTGCTTCTAGCTTTGGCCATGACCAGCCCTGACCATTGCGAGCATTTGAGAGTGAACCAGAGGTTGAAAGATTCTCTCTGTCTCTCCATGTTCCTGCCCCTCCTTTCCACTCTCCCTCATCTGCTACCTCTCTCCCTGCCACATTCTCTCCCCCCACCCCCTTCCTTTCCCTTTTCCCTCTTCCCGTCCTATCTTTGTATCTCTGCTTTTCAAATAAATAAGTGCATGTCTTAAAAAAAGAATAACAATAGAATTTACTTAGATTTTGGGTACTGTCAATATTTATTCTGATTGGGTTTGATAGCTGTTAAAAACCATTTCAAAGATGCAGATATATGACAATATAACTTAAATAATCCGCCATAGTCATCGTCTACTATAAAGAATACAAATTCATCCAACTCAAGTGATTTCAGATGCTCTAGAAGTTATCACAGCGTGATCTGTGTCATCTGTGGAAGGGCTAAGGTCATGTACTACAAATAAAGATTTAGGGGTTTGACCACAGTTGAATTTCATTTAGTTTCTGTGGTTGCCTCATGCTTAAAAATATTTCAGCGTAAAGTTTTTAGAAGGCAATTTTATAATTTATCCTGCACTTTTGAGTAAAATAATAGAAAACAGAGAGAACAAGAGAAAATATCCACTTGTTCGTCACTGGCACCAACCAAATGTTGGCCATTTTATCAATTTTTACAAAATGAACCCCTTTAATTACAACTGAAATTTCCGTCTGTGTGATATTTCACCCTCCCTCCAGAGAACAAGATCCACACTGGGAACTGATATATAATGCCTATTTTTATTCCATGTGACTACATCCACTTAGCATATCTAACATCCTTTTCTACAAATTTTCAGTTATCTAGATTTTCATTTATTTGTATTTCAGTGTCTAATTCTAGTCTGTTTGGCTTCTTTGTTGTTGCTTATGGTCAGCGATCTCAAAGGTGTTTCTGTTTGATGACCAATTTGAGAAAATGTAACCTTTGATTTCATCACAATCTGTAGATATGTGTTGCTTTAATATTGATTTTACTTTGTGATTATTATTATTAGAAAGGCAGATTTACAAAGAAAGAAGGAAAGACAAAAAGAAATAGAGATCTTGCCTCCAGTGGTTGACTCCACAAAGGGCCACAATGACCAGAGCTGAGCTGACCTGCAGCCAGGAGACTCTTCCAGATCACCCACAAGGATGCAGGGTTCCAAGGCTTTGGACCGTCCTCTTCTGTTTTCCCGAGTCATAAGGAGGGAGATGGATCAGAATTGAATCAGCTGGGACATTTCAACCAGTGTCCGTAAGAGATGCTGGCACTTGCATGCAGAGGATTAGCTAATTGAGCCATCACACCAGCCCCTACTGTTTTTATATTATTATGCTCTGCATTAATTCTCACTCTTTGACTTTAATGCTTTGCTTTTGAACTTTACTCTTCCTCGTTTTCTAACATAATTATTAAAGCTGAAACTATCCTGTTTTAAATAATTTTCTCTGTTGCCTTCAGTCTTAAAAAGTTAGAACTTTCTGGTGTGTGTGTGTGCGCGCGCGTGCACATGGGTGTGAGGCACAGCATTTATGCTGCCTTCTAGAGTGTCCTCATCTTTTATCAGAGTGTGGAATCCCTTCCTGTTTTCCACTCCCATGCACTCTCACTCTAGGGGTGTAACAGGTAGCAGCTAAGAGATAGGGTTATTCCCAGCTTATCTGAGAGACTCAGGTTGACGCCTGGGTGTCTTGAATTTGCACTGGCTCAGTCACATTCTTAGAATTATAAATATGAACTATTTTGAATCTGTTCTTGGATTTTGTGACACGCCAATGCCAAGAGGAGCCCTGCTGCTAAAAAGGTTCTCCAAGGGCCCAGTGTGGTAGCCTAGTGGCTAAAGTCCTCGCCTTGAAAAGAACTGGGATCCCATATGGGCACTGGTTCTAATTCCGGCAGCTCTACTTCTCATCCAGCTCCCTGCTTGTGGCCTGGGAAAACAGTGGAGGACGGTCCATAGCCATGGGACACTGCACCTGTGTGGGAGACCTGGAAGAGATTCCAGGCTCTTGGCTTCGGATTGGCTTAGCTCCGGCTGTTGAGACTGCTTGGTAGGTGAATCAACAGATGAAAGATCTTCCTCTCTATCTTATCTCCTCTGTGTATATTTGACTTTCTGATAAAACTAAAATAACCCCCTTTTTTTTTAAAAACTTCTCTAATCCAGCTTGCCAATGGGTGTGGAGCAATCATGCCTGAAATCATCTTTCCAGGTATTTGGGGATGCATCCAGGAGAAAAATGGGATTCCTGTCCCATGGTGACTTCCCCACTGACACTGTCATTGCGCAGAATGAATCTACTGCTTAGAACTGTTTCAGAAACTCAAGGAAGTATTTTTGGCAACAGTGTTTTGACTTTGAGGTGAATGTAAGCCATTTATATGCACATGCTGGGGCTTCTCATACTGGTTTGTGGTTTACATATTCATGCTTGCAACATAGACATGTCTTCAACTAATTTAATTAAAACCAGTGATTATAATTATCTATCAGGCAGCCCAAAAGTCAGAATCCAGGAAATCTATCCTGGTCTTCCATGTGAGTTACAGGTGTCCAAGTATTGTAGCCAGCACCCACTGATTGGCAGGTATGTTAGCAGGAAGGTATATGGCCAGCAGGAGTTGGTCTGGATTCCATGCACTCTGACATAGGGTGCTCACATTGCAAGCGGTAACTAGCTATGCCATGACTATAGTCTTTTATGGTCACTCCTGAATGATAGATCACGTGGCCATCTAATTTTAGACGGACAATGCCTTCTGTCGTCCCTTTTATGAAATACTTACAGATTCTGACGTTTTGCACGGTGGTTCCCACAACTGGACATACTAGTCCATACTCTGAAGGACTTCGCCGTTGCTGAGCTCACAGACCTCAGGACTCTCTCTGGGCATCTAACTTGGTGGTTCTGGCAGTTGTTGCTTTCCGGGCCTCCCAGTTACATCGTTTTAATTCTGGGAGGTTCCTGGTCTGTGCTTGCCTCTGCTTTACAGATCTCCATAATATAAACTTCAGGCAGAAAGATGGTTAATCTAGAACTTACCCTGCTTCTTCTCCTGTCTCAGGGTTCAGTATACTGCATTTCATTTGTATTTACCCATTTTTCAGGCAGGAGGGGAAGTCTGATCTGGTACTTTATTTTGGATGTAAATGAAAGTATGTTGCCTTCCATCTCTTGCGTAGTTGGATGGGAAGCAGAGGTAGAACTTGACATCAGGCACCCTGACCCCAGATACAGTCATCCCAAGCAGCAGCATAACCCCTGTGTCCAACATGTACACGACACACTCTCAGACATGGAGAGAATGACAAATGTAGTAGAATTGAATACTTCATATTTGATAAAGCAGACAACTCATGTTAATGTGGCAAAATGATCGCTCCACGAATGCTACTGAGACAAAAGTATACTGAAAAATAAATTTGAATCATACACAATAATGTAACAATAATTATATCTCAGATGCATTTTTAAGTATAAAAAAGCAAAGCCTAAACCATACCAGAACAAACCATAATGAAACTTTCTATAATAATAGATTTGGGAAAGTCTTTTTAAGAATGTGACAAAATGCAAAGACCATAAATTAAAAAAAAATAATTGATTAATCCCTTAAGTATCTGCATCTCACATTTAAATTCCTCAAATAACTATTTTATTTCTGAATTCTTACATTAGGTCATGTTCTGGATTTATGGGTTCTATTTCTGTGAAGATCTCTATGCAAATTCTGCATATACTGTGATATGCATTACAAATACATATATATTATGTTTTTATGTTTACTCCTCTTAAAGTCAAAATATTTAACACTATCAATATGCATGGTGTTCAAGATTTTGTGATATCATAAAATGGGATTCAAAGCCATACTTCATAATATTTTGAGGCTTACTACCCTCAGAAACGATTTTTTTTTCGTCTGCATACACTCATTTATCTGTGAAATCCAAGGCCCCTTTTAAGAATTTTATGGTTCCGGTGTCACGGGTGATATGGTCCTTCCTGCCTGCCAGGTTTGCGTGAGTTGCCGGAGTATCAACATGCACGTGTCTAGGACCTCTACGCTGGAAAGTATAAATGTCCAGGCTCTAGTCCAGCACATGTTCAACTCCCTTGGATAATTCTGCATGTTCTCCTTCCTCAGCTCCCGTTTACCTGCGAGCTTAGACATTTTGTTGCTCAATAGCTTAATACAATCTAATGATGTAGCTGCAGTTTTACACTGTGTTTAAGTTTTGTGGCATTCCTTGTGAAGAAGGAAAAGGGGAAATTATTTTGCCAGGCTGTTTTATCAGATTATCCAGATGTCAGTATCGGTTTTAATATGTATAATGAATAGAATGTATCGTTATTTTGTAGATAATGGATGAAAGTAAATGTTGAGATACAAAGTTAAAACTCAGACATTCAGGACCAAATATATTTTTAGTGCTTAGAAATAATAAGGAATAAATCAATCCTATACTTTCCCAATGCTATTCTCGCTGTAATATTTCACATATGCTTGTTTATGAATGAAGTATGTGAGAAAATTAAAACATAATTTGTTTGCATCTTTGTGACATTTGAGCTTTTTTAAAAAAATACTTTATTAATTTTTGCTGGTAAGTCAAATATGCAGAGAGGAGGAAAGACAAAAAAGAAGAGCTTTCGTTTGTTGATTCACTCTGCAAGTGGCTGTGATGGCCAGAGCTGAGCCAATCTGAAGCCAGGAGCCCAGAACTTTTTCTAGGTCTCTCGTGTGGGTACAGGGTACCAAAGCAGGTCCCAAGCCGATTTCATTTGCTTTACTCACGATCTTACTTTATTCTAGTTATCCTGGTCTCCTGTCTGTTCTTATATAAATGTATTCTTAACACATATGTCCTCCTTTCAAAAACATTTTTTAAAAAGATTTATTTTTCTTGGAAAGGCAGGTCAGATTCATGGACAGAAGGAAAAACAAAAAGAAAGATCTATTCATTCCTCAAAGGGCTGCAACATTTGGAGCTGAGGCGATCTGAAGCCAGGAGCCAGGAGCTATGAGCTTCCTCCAGGTCTCCCACATGGGTGCAGTACCCCAAGACGTTGGGCCATCCTCTACTCTTTTTCCCAGGACACAAACAGGGAGCTGGATGGGAAGCATGGCTGCCAGGATTAGAACCAGTGCCCAAATGGGATCCTAGTGCATGCAAGGCAAGTACCTTAGCTATTAGGCTACCACTCTGGGCCCTGGGTGTTGTTTTAATGGTAACTTGCATTAGGGTTGATGCAATGGCTCAACTGGCTAATCTTTCACCTTTAATTGATGGAATTCCATATGGGTGTTAGTTCAGGTGCTGACTGCTCCGCTTCCCATTCAGCTCACTGCTGTGGTAGTGAAGGCAGTAGAAGATGCCCCAAAGCCCTGAGCCTCTGCACCTGCATGACAGACCTGGAAGGAGCTCCTGGCTCCTGCCTGCAGCCTAGCCCAGCCCTGTTTGAGGGATGAGCAAACAGATGGATTCTTTCTCTCTCTCTCTCTCTCTCAAAATCTACCTTTGCAATAAAAATAAAGAAATCTTTATAAAAATTAAAAAAATAGTAACATCTTATGAAAGATCAAATATTGCTTATGAGGTATCCTAGCTTTCATTTACAAACTTGGTTAATTCCTTAGTATGAACCGCAAACATTATGTTCAATTGTTTTTTAGATCAAGCTCAGAGGTTAGCATTCACACAGCTGTGGACAAGTAAGTAAATGATAAGTTTTGGGAGATTTTGTTTGTGCTCTTTACAATGCGTGTGGAAAACTAAGGATTAATGGACATTTCCCAATGAATTTCTAAATATTTTTGAATGACCTCAATTGGCAGCACACCATGTATAGGTTACTGGCATGTAGTAATTTAGCTTCTAAGCAATTAATCCTTTTTTTTTCAGTGATTAAGTTAGAAGTCTAATTGGAAGAAACAAATTGGCTGACTGCAGGAGATAAAATCAGTAAAATTAGTAAATTAAAAAATTTTACAGAGAACTCAGAAATGACCTGACATGGGTTTTGCTACTGTGCTAGTTATGTTAGCTGGTAAATACATCAAATTTAATTGATTGTGAGAAAAATCCTGAATCTAGATATAGAACATACTCCAGTATTCATGAATTGAGGCTAGCCGGCTTTGCTGTTTCTGAGTTACTGATAGAGTCCGTTAAGTCTCTAGTAACATTCCTTTTCTTGAATATATTGTACATTGCCTGGAGAACAGTGCAACATTTAAGTGTATGTGTTCAGTGTACACTGATCAATATGGGCGATCGGCGTTATCAGCCTTTCCACGCCTTTACTTTTCTTCACGTTCGGTGCGCGCACTCTCTTTTCCAGTTTTTTCAGTACGTTTATTGTGAACTGTAGTCACCCTGTTGTGCTGTGGTACATCAGGACTTATTGCAGTTAAACATTTTTGTTACCTAGTGCATGTTTTCTTTTGGGTTCCTGGGGAGGAGATGTGACCAAATAGAAATGGGGGGACAGTGCTCTCTTAGGCAACTGACAGAGCTTATTTCCAGGGTTCCAGTTCTTATATGCTTAGTAAAACAATAGTTCAGACAGAACTCAGGATTCGGTCATGTCTAGGAGCAGGGAGTTCAAGGAGGCTGACAAGGCGCCTTGGTCAGAGCACTGATGAAATGGGGACTAGATAAGGAGTGCCGTCTGTCCTTGGGTTACTAGACAGAGCACAGATGTTCGTCTATCCTCAAGGAGAGCATGGAAGCACATCCAGGGACTCAGTGGGGACAGGAGTGCACAGACAATCATACAGGTTTACATGTGTGCTTTTCATCGAACAGCACCCCACCCGTGTTGGTACCAGTGTCTTGACCAGGTGTTTTCCTGCCCTCTCTCACAGTGACTAGCAGTTCCATCTGGAGACAATCGAAATATCAAGGGGGTCACTAAGAAATGGAAATTCTGCCTTTCCTAGCCTGCTCACAGCCAAAGGAAACAATAAACCGAGCGAGTGTGGACTAACCTGAGTGTCGAATGTCTGATTTTCTTTTCTAGTTACTCCAACTCAGAATTCAGCCGATTTCAGAGCCATTAACTCAAGATAGCGGTCCACCTTGGGGACCTGGAGCCTGGAGGAGCCCGTGAGCTCCTCCTTCATTCCTTGAGCTTTTTCCTTCTCTCCAAAAATCTGGCCGGCCTGCCACCTCGCCACCTCTCCCTCTCTGTCTCCCCCACCTCCCAAAAACCTGTTTTTTTTTTTTTTTTCTTAAAACAAATGGCCCAAACTGCTTGGGCTTAGATTTCAGGGACAAAAGCAAACCCAACCTGTTACAGAGTTTGGTGTGAGAAAAATGAATTAGGAAAATGTTTCCTCATTGTCCATTTTTAAAATTTTTACCTCTTTTTATTATCATTTTATAATACAGTTCCATGGCCCTGGAATTTCTCTTATCTCTCCCCAATTCCCTCCTCCCTCACTGAGTTCCCTTATATCATTAACATAGTATAGTTCTTCATACACAGTCATATGTCCATCATGGTGGGCATGGACAATGGCAGAGGATCCAGCATCCTGTTGTCAAGATATAGTAAACAGTTTCATTGGGAGTCCATCTTTAGTCTGGAAGTAGACATGCACACTGCATTGCATCCTCACATCTGGATAGGATAGTCTCCATTACACAGTTACTATACATCCCCTTAAATCAAAAGCCACAAAACAAAACCAACAACAGGAAGAAAAAGAAAGAAATTAACAACACCATGAAGTTAAATAATATGCAACTGATGGCCTAACGTGTCACTGAAGAAATGAAGATCAACCTTCTTTAAGAAAATGATGCTACTGTATGATCTCTGAGTTATTGAAGAATTTAATCAGAAGAAAGTGTCTTGAAGAGATGAAACTCACTGGTCTTTTTTTTTTTTAAAGATTTATTTATTTTTATTACAAAGATATACAGAGAGGAAGATCTCCCAACCCATGATTCACTCCCCAAGTGACCACAATGGCTGGTGCTACGCCGATCCAAAGCTGAGAATCAGGAACCTCTTCCAGGCCTCCCATGTGGGTGCAGGGTCCCAAAGCTTAGCTGGATGGGAAGTGGAGCTGCTGGGATTAGAACTGGCACCTATATGGGATCCTGGCACGTTCAAGGCGAGGACTTTAGCTGCTAGGCCACGCTGCCGTCCAGCCCGTCACTGATCTTTTAATGTTCAGTTTATCTGCGGTGGCTCTCCAGAGCTCTGGGCCAATAGGCTGCATTTGGTTTGCAGGAGATGCTGTGTTTTTTGGCACCATCTGCACCATGTTTGCCAGAAATGCATGTCAGTTTTCTGACATGAGAGCTATTGGGAATCCCAAGACTCAGGTTGGTTTTCTTTTCAACAGAAGTCTGGCTATCTCGTGGGATTTTTCAGTCCAAGTTGGGAGTGCTTTTACCAACCTAGTGTCTGTGTACACAAAAATCAGTGGGCATGCACAGCCTTGAACACTGCAGAGCTTGGTGAACTATAAAATAGTGCTTTTCAGGAGGGCTCCATTTACGCTTTTATCTGCAGAGGCACTTTGGGCCCCTGGCAGGGGTTATTGTAAGCGTACGTTTTATGCTGCCTGCTTACCACCTGAGTCATGTAGGAGTGCCGGAGACCAGCTCCGGCTGACTGATCCTCCGGCAAAGGATGCGTGGATCAGCGAGATGATAGGAAGAGATAAGACACGGACCACTATGACTTGATGCTCATAATGGACAACTCAGAAAAGTTGCCTTCTTTATTTATACATAAATCATCACAAGCTTTTGCACAACATCCAATTGTTTCATTTTTCATTACATCATGGTTATGAAAATGCAAGAAACAATCCTAAAAAATATTTTTCTATTTCAAAGAAAACATTTTTAACAAACCATTACTCATTGAAACCTGCAATCACCTGGCTGAAGCCAGGAACTCCACGGTTGGCAGCACATGTGACTTATACTCAAAATCAATTTTTACTAAACACAAACTAATATTGATTAAAATATTAAGAATACAGAATTGAAAGATCATAAATGAAAGAATTTTACAAAAGCATATAACATAGATTCTATGCTAAATCTTATAATCAAATCATGCATTAATTTCAGTCACCTTCACCTAGTGCCGATTTAATTGGTTTTTAATCTTTTGTTAAAGGGCAGTGAAAGGGATCGTGGCAGCTCAGCCAATCTATAAACAGAGGGCCTTTACAAGAAACTTTCATCTATATAAACTGTTTTCTTTCCCTAAATATAAGTGCCAATACAAGATAAAGATTTTAAACCATTTTGAGGGGTTCACATCTATTTCCTTATAAAAGATGCCCCATATACTTTTGCTTTCTGTGGTAAGAAACTAAAATGTGTCATATCATGTGTTGTAACAGTTGGAGGAGCATGGTAAACAAACTCTTTGTACCTCCATGATTGCCATCTGTTGCAAGATATTATCAAACCATTTCTTAAGCAAAACATTACTTATACTAGGGCAAACTTTAGGACAAAAGTGGGCACATAGCAGGATGTTTGGAAACATAGTGGGCTCAATTGTACTATTGTATACTTTTAACTGTGTGTTATAGCCTTACCGTTACTAAAGGTGTTTTTATCATAACATGATTGATCAATTTGAGGTGTCATACCAGTCACAGGAATCACTTCACATTAGCAGAAAAACAACAACAACAACACCCTCAGGAGAATTCTGTGAAACATCAGAGAGGTGATTGAGTTCCATACAATGGGTGAGGCAGCAATGAGGTGACCAGAGACATTCTGCCGGGCCTTGCCTCACAGCCAGAAACTCCTTGTAGCCTTGCTAACTGAGGAGCGATACTAATCACACACCCATACCATCTGACCCAACTGCACGGCTCCCCACATAGGAGGGTCTGCAAATGTGAAAGTGCCACCCCATTGTCCATGCCAAAGCCATTCAGACGGTGTGAAGCTGGTGGGTAAAAGCTGGGGCTCCAGACAGGAATTACCGCTTGGCTTAAACTGCAATTGCCCAGAAAGGAGATAGTCTCCACTTTGGGTTTTGAAACGAGTTAACTTGTGGGAATACTGATTCAGTTTCCACTCTGCCAGGGGGCAGGGGAGCAGGCAGCAATGGGGCTTCTAGGGTGTTTGGCCTCTTGATCTGCTTTCTTGTTTCCCCTTGCCATAGCAGCATCCCCCTCCTTGGGCATCCACACGGTGTTACCACAGCTGCACATCTGGTATCTAAGATTGTTTGGGTCTAGACTTTATGCCTTTTGCTCTTGACTAAACAGTCACCTCTATCTAAAACTCTGTGCAGATGGAGAGTGGTGAAAGTGTTGTAGGGTCTTTGTCCCTGAATACGGCAGCAACCTCAATTCTTGTCTCCCAGGAAAGAATTTTTTTTTGCCGACACAGTTTAGTTTTAAAGCAAGATTTATTAGAAAAGCTGGGAAAAGGAGCACCTGTCCTAGTGATGATAGGGGGCTTTGAGATAGAAAAGACCTGTATTTCCTGACATTGTGGCAGGAGGAGGAAAGAGAAAAACCCTAGACCTCTGCCATAGTGCCAGGAGGAAAAATGGAAAACAAGACCTGTATTAAAGGTGGGGAAAGCATCTTTTAAAGGTTTACCTCAAAGATGCTTCTCCATAAACAAAGGAGAATTCCTGGTTTCCATTGTACCTGGCCTGGAACAAATGTCCAGAAAGGTGTCACCAGCCAACTTCCTTGGTCCCTTTCTAATGATGAGGAGGCCAGTCTGAGGCCCTCTGCCTTGGCAATGGTCAGAGACTGAATCAGGTGAAGATTTGGTATGTTAATGTCGCCCCTGTCTCTTGGGGAAGCATGTTCTTGATATGTTAAGATATGCACTTGTCTCTGGAGAAACGTGCTCTGGTGAATCTAAGACATGGTGGGGAAAACACCCTTTCATATTTGAGAAAAAAATAATGACTTGGGGACCTAGAACACCCTAACTGCCTACTACCCAGTTTAACTCGTCTCTCAAAAGCAGATTTAGAATCTATGTGTATGTTGGCACAGACTCCTGATGCCAGCTAAAGAGCCCGGTATCTGGCAATGACTTGAACCTTTTGTGCTAAAGTCCCTGATGGCTGCCCAGGGCACTGGAGACTAGGGGCTGGTCTGCTCCTCCCTAGCATATCTCCCAGGCTTCAGCCCGGAACAGGAGGGGCCACAGGTGCCAGTTATGTCACCAACCTGGCCGGATTCCAGTTGGCCAATGGCACACCTGAATGGACATTCCTTATATAGTTGGGACACAGCCCCTTTGCCCGCCCACGTGTCTAGAGGGGTATAAAACTCCTCCACACGTATCTCAGAGGCCTTTTTCGCTTCCCTTTTCCTTCCCCTCTGCACAAAGGGGGCCCAGGAATGGATTTTCCAATAAAGCTTCCATCACAACTCTGAACAACTTGCCGATATTATTCCACCAGCAGGCAGGCGGTTGGTGGTCATCTAACAGTCCCTACAGGCAGGGTCCCAGCCTCAATAAATAGAGTGTAAAGTCATGACAGAATACCTTGAAAAATGGCTTCCTTTAATGAAGCTGCTTCCATCAGTGAAACATTCCACATCTGTGTCTTTTAGGGGCTTAGCCATCCAGCTGGGTCAGCTAGAAAACACCTCATCTGTAACTTCTATACAGTCAAGGTCAGACTCACCCTGCTCAACAGGTAGTGATGGTGTTGGCATTAGGGCTTTTTGTTGTTGTTGTTTTGTTTTTATTATTTTTAGGTGGATGTGGGGATTTTCACACAAAGTCTCCTGATATTTGACCACGTAGGCATCAATCAAACAATATTTTCTGTTATTTTCCATCAGGACTCAGTTATTTTTTGTCCCCAAATCAGCTTGTCAGCCTCTGATTCAGGTGAGCCGTCACAGCTAGGCCCTGGAGACAGGGTGCCTAGCTCTGGAAACACAGCTGTTTGCTGAGATGAGCACCCGAGTTGGCATCCCAGCTGCTGTGCCTGCATGTTCACAAACATG